GATTGGACTGGTCTGCCATTTCCTTCTCCAGCTCATTTTATAGATGAGGAAACTGAGGCAAATAGGGTTAAGTGACTTGCCCAGGGTCATGCAGAGTAAGCATCTGAGGCCAGATTTGAACTCTGGAAGATGAGTCTTCATGATGCCAGGCCCATGCTCTGTGCACTATGGCGCCATCTAGGTGTCCTGGAGCCCAAGGACAAGGGTTCAAATCCTGCCTCTGCCTCGCTTGGCTGTGTGATCTTGAGTAAGTCATTTCTCCAGTGTTAGCCTTAGTTTACTCCCCTGTAAAACAAAGGTCTCATTACTCTCTAAAGTCCCTTCAAGCTCTGATTCTGTCAATGGGCATCATAACATGGCGGAAGGGGGATTAGATTTGGAATCAGAAGACCTGGGTTCAAATCCTAGCTTAAATGACCTTGTGAACTTCTCTCTGGGTCTCATCTGTAAAATGGAGGCATTGGACACAGTGACGCTTCCAGCCCTACATGATGCCATGATGATAACGTGGGCCTGGAAGACCAGTGCCTTGTGAATGGCCGGCACTTCAGAGTCTGTGGTCCCAGTGCAGGGCTCTTTGAAGAACCCAGCCTCCCCCGACTCCTACTCTTCCCTCTTCCCCTCCCCCAAAAAAGAAAAGAAGAGTTTGGAACACAATGGTGTGTTCCAAAGGCTCTCAGCCACCCAGTCTGTCAAACATCTGAGGCCCTGCCCCGCCCCCAGTGCCTCTCTGTGCCTTTCCAACACTTACCCCTGTCCGGGCATTGGCAGCCAGCAGCCTCCACTGCCCAGAGGTGTTGACACAAGGGCTGCATTTAGTCCCCTCTTTCTATTTTTATTTCTTTTTGGCCCCCTGAGATTTCAGGCCTGGTGCCCCTGGCCCTGTGCTCATACACATGCTCTGCTCCTGGGCACCAGCTAAAAGGCTTGGGAGACCCAGCTCTGAGCCTGCAGCCAGCTCAGTCTGCTTCATGATGGAGCCCAGCAAAGCGACGGTGAGGCCTGATCATGGTTATACCAAAAAAAGCAGCTGCCAGCTCCATAGCACAGGCATTTTTCTCTATGTGCATCTTCCATAGAATTAATGTAAATACAGAAGGAAAAAGTGGTGTTGAGTTCTCCTTGGCCACAGAGTCATAGAATCAGGTGGGAGGCAGGAAGACCTGAGTTCAAATCTGGCCTCAGAAATGTACTACCTGTGTGACCCTGGGCAGGTCGCCTAACCTCTGCTTGCCTGTTCCCTCATCTGTCAAATAGTGATGGTAACTGTAGTATCTAACCTCATAGGGTTGTTGTGAAGCTCAATGAGATAATATACATAAAGTGCATTACAAACTTCAGAGTGTTATTTATTTAAAGGCCGGTTGTAATTATTAGAGTTCTCCCTTGATTGTAATCTCTAAGTTAGAAGACCTCTCAGAGGTGATCTGGTCTGAACCCAATGTGTTACAGGAATTCCGTCCACAGCAGCTAGTTCAAGTAGTCATTCAGGATGGATGGGTGGGAAGGCAAGAGGCAGAGAAAGAGGGGGAGAGAAGAGAGACAGAATGGGGAGAGAAAGAGGAAGAAACAGAGGAGATACAAAGAGACAGAGGGAAAAGAAAGAGACAGAGGGAAAGTGAGGGAGAGAGACAGTAAGGGGAGAGACAGAGGAGAGACAGACAGAGGGAAGGAGAGAGAGAGGAGCAAAAGAGACAGAGAAGGAAGGAGAGGGAGAGAGACGGTAGGGGGAGAGACAGAAGAGAGGGAGACAGAAAGAGGAGAGAGACAGACAGAGGGAAGGAGAGAGAGAGGAGAGAAAGAGAGAGAGTTTATTCAGCATTTGCTATGTGCTAAGCACTAGGATACAAATATAAAGACAGTCCCTGTCCCTGGGAGCTTACATTCTAATGGGGAAAGACAAAAGATAGCCATCCACCTAGCATGGTGTGGACACTGCTGAAAAGTATGAACACAGTGTAGAGCCTACCTGTGGCAAGATAAGGCTGGGCCTCACTTATCTGAGCCTGGAGTGCCAAGGTCAGAATCCAAGGTTCCCAAGGAGGGGAGTTGGGAATGATGCCAGAAATCACGTGGTGTACTTGGAGATGGCCAGGAGGTGGTGAGACAGGACATTTCACTTGTAGTGAAGCTGATGATGGATTAGAAAGCGTGCCAGTCTTAGAGGTCTGAAGCCCTGGCTTCAGATCCCACTTCTAGCCCTGAGTAGGGAGGGTGGGGGCAATTCTAGCCAAGGAGCCTTTGAGTTCTGGCTTCCTCTTTTAGAAAATGGGCATAAAAATGGCCCCTCCTTCATAGGGTCTTGAGAGGCTTGAAGGAGGCCAGGTCTGTAAGTGTTTGCAAACAATATCAGTAGGTTTGTTGGCTTAAGACGGTGTCTAATGGGGACTTCAGGCTAGAGCGTGAAGACTGAGGGCTCATCTGTTAACAGGAGAATTGTCCCAAACAAAGCTTCCCAGCTTCCACAGGGAATCTGTGGACTCCAGAATATCCCCACCCTTCAGGGATTCCTGCAGTTCCGGTTGTCAGGCCTTGGACCTGTGTTTTCTTCTTCCCAAGATCTTCTCTGGAAGTGGTCCAGGGATAAGAAACTGCTGGCTTCTCCAAGCAAGCGCTCTCTTTCATTCTTATTTATGTAAGCTAGCCAGGACAGGGATGCGGGAAGGCCCCACAGAGGACCACAGAGATTTTGGTCAAACTCATCCGCAGCTGAGATTCCTCTAAGTAGATGAGCGTGCTGGGAGAGCCCCGGCTTCCTAGTGCTGACACTCACTGCCTTAAGCAAATCCCTTCACTTTTCTGAACCTGCCTCCTCACTTCCTTTGAAAAATGGCACACCGTGGGGGCAGCTAGGTGGCACAGTGGATATAGCACAGGCCCTGAAGTCAGGAGTACCTGAGTTCAAATCCCGCCTCAGACCAAACACTTGATAACTTACTAGCTGTGTGACCCTGGGCAAGTCACTTAACCGCAGTTGCCTTAAAAAAAAATAGCACACCTCCCTGCCTCACAGGGTTCTTTGTAAAGGCCTTAAAATACCCTGGAAAGACAAGTTCCTGCTATCCTTATCATCTCATTAAAAAAAAAATTGGCCTTTATGAAATCTCCTTGGTTTTTTAAATGACCCATCACCAGGCTAAACCTAGAACAGTAACAGGAGCTGAGGGTATTGGGAAGGCCCGTTTTGGGGTAACTTGGACAAATAGGCGGACTATCATAGCCCAGACTTCTTAAGCTGGTAGAGAATTTGAAGAAACTAAATTGTGGTGGAATTATTATTTGCAAATGTTAAAAGGATTGTGGAAAGCACGGTCCTTATCTAACACGACCTGTAGTGTGTGAATGAATCTGTCCTTGGATGACCTTTTACACCATAACTAAGCTTTATACAAATTGGAGATGTGGCCCCGTCTATCATGAGGCTGTTACCACGTTTTTAACTTCACAAGAAGAATATGAGATGCTATATTTAATATCGTGTTAGGGAGCCCTCTGGTGGGAAAATTATGAGGCCAATGTGCCTGGCTTATCCAGAAGATATGGGGCTGAATAGAGGAATGCAAGGAAAGACAAGAAAAGGGCACCTGAAATTTAGGCTTAACAGGCTGTATTACATCACGCAAACATATGTGTCTTAAAATGTAATCTCTCGATGGCCTGGGAACACTGTACTAACAGATCTCAGTGGCTTGGGAAGGCTACATCAATGGATATTTGAAATGGAAACGTAGATATTGAGGGCATATACAAGGTGCTATGATCAGTGTTGACAGTAGGAGGTACCACCATCTTGGAACAAAGCTTAAATAATAAAGCCAGAGAGGTACTTTGGTAAGAAATGGAAAATAGATTTAAAATGTACTTTGGGGGTAGAGGAAATATTCTAAATAAGCCCAATAGTTGCTCAAAAGATAGCAATAATAGTTAATAGTTATAGATAAAGGCTTCCAAGGCACATGGGCAACAAGATGGAGGACTAGACATTTTCTCTGATCCTTACAATTTCTCAAACCTCTCCAAAACAGAAATTATGCACCAAAGATAAAGCAGCTTCAGCTGTTTCCGTGGTCTAGGGCACCCAGAATCCAAAAGAAGGATTTTAGAAAAACCTCAAACCCCTGAAATGATGCTCAGTGACCCTGAACTCACTTAGTACCTCCTATACTACTGGCATCAAGGCTGCAGTAGCAAACCCAAGGACCTCCATCTAGGCTTACAACAAAACCCATCCCAGTCCTCCCAAGAGGGAGTGTTTCCCATGTGGGGTCCCACTGCTTGTGACTCGGGTCCCCATGCAGACCTTTTCACAGCTGGCATGCAGGAATGGTAAGAAATCCCTTCCTGGTAGATGAGGGAATAGCACAGACTTTGGGCTGGAGAGCTGCCCCCTGCCCTTAGCCTGCCTCTCACCAAGGGAGAATCAAAGTTAAGTGAGTTGCCCAGAGTATGAGGAAGGATTTGAACTCAGGCCTTCCTGACTCTGGGTTTAGTGGTCTATCCACTGCATCACTTAGCTTCCTTTCTTGGAATCAGGAAGACCTGGATTTGAATCTTCCTCTAAAATGTACTGACCATGAGAACATAGGCAAGTCACAATCTGTGCCTCAGTCTCCTCATCTGTAGAATGGAGATCGTCTTCTTTCTTGGGCTGTAATGAGGAACAAATGATGTGAGGTGTATAATGTTCTCTGCAGACCTTCAGGTGCTGTGTATGTCTGTGGTTTGTATTGATCTCTGCAGAAGCCTTGCAGGTTGTGACAGGCTCGTTTCAGAGGGGGGAGATGCATTTCACCAGCCGTCCTCAGGGGCCTGGAGCTTTTCCCTGGCTCCCCCTTTGCTGCCCAGTCGTCCCCCCCCCACTCTTGACCTTGCTTCCGTTTCAGCCTGGCTGCCAAGACTCCTGCCTTCAACAACTGAGAGGCTTTCTAATTGGGAGAGACGTTTCTTTGTGGTCAGCAGCTAGTGTCAGTGAGATGGCTTTTCCTCCTTCTCTTACACAGCCAAGCGCAGAGGCCCCCAGACTGAAGAAGGACGCGCCCCAAGGTCGGAGTGCACTGTTGGCAGATATTCAGCAAGGGACTCGCTTAAGGAAAGTCACTCAGATCAATGACCGAAGCGCCCCCCAGATCGAAAGTAAGTGTGCGCCAGGCCTCCTGACCAGGTCTCTCAGGAGTTAAGAGAAACATGTGCCAGCCCCCTGAGGCCAAGGGGCGGTGAGCTCATGAGCTCAGAGGATGTTAGAGCTGACAGGGACCTTGGCTGCTGCGAGAGAAGGCCACTCTCTGGCTTATTTTTCATTTTACAGCTGGCCTTTGTGTGCACATCATCTTCACTTCTGAATATATTCCTCTCCTTTACTCAGCCTTCCTTTGTGATAAGTAATAATAATAATAGAAAGTCACCAAACATTTATTAAGCACCTAGTCTGTGCCAGGCACTGTGCTTAGCTGTGAGGGTCCAAGGCAGAGATGTGGCCCTGCCCTCAAGAAGCTCATGGTCTAATGGGAGAGACAATGTGCAAACAAGCTATGTGCAAGCAGGACAGAGACAGGAGAAATTGAGGGTAGGCAACAGCAGAAAGGCAGTAAGATTAAGGAGGTCTAGGAAAGGCTTCTTGCAGGTCAGACTTTAACTGAGACTTCAGGAAGCCAGGAGGCAGAGATGAGGAGGGTGAGCATTCCCAACATGGGAGCCAGCTGGGGAAGTGTCTCGGGTGAGGAACAGCAGAGTCACTGAATCTGACAGTGCATGCTGTGTTCCACACCGGTAGTCCCCGACCTCTGCAAAGAGCAACCCTTTCCTTTTCCCAAGAAAGAGACCCAAGTACAGAGACTTGTCCAGTCAGGTGCAGAGCTGGGGATTAGGAGCCCTGGGCTCAAATCCCAGCGCAGAGATTGTTCCTGAACGACACGCTGCTCCCCTTATGAAGCCGATGAGTTTGACAAACTGGCTTCAGAGGTCAGCCCATGACAAAGCTGTTGTTTCTTTTAAAAAGTTGGAGGTGATTTATAAAACTTCTGTTCTTTTTCCAAAAACTTAAAAAAATCTATATTGAGATTAATATTATTTGTAGCATTTACTGAACTCTAGATCTATAAAGCAATAATATATCTTAGTCATTATATATAAGAAATTTATGCTTATACAACGAAAAAATGGGTTTTTGTCAATAAAATTGTCCTTACTCATTCTCCAACAGCAAAAACACACACACACACACACACACACACACACACACACACACACAAACTACACTGAGATTACTTTTAAACATCCTGTTTCACCATGGAACTTAAAGCTCACACCTGACAACTGGATTTGGAATCGCAAAGGAGACCTGGATTCAAATAACCATTTGCTCTTCCTGTGTGACCTTGGACAAGTCACTGAGCCTTGGTTTTTCTCAACTGTAAAAAGAAAGGGGTTGGGCCAGCTCCTTCCAGCTGTTCCTAGACCATAATTGGATACAGTTAACCCTTGATTAACTATTAGTTGGTTTGTCTTTTCCTCCATTGTCTCTTGGGCTCAATATACACTCAGCTTAGTTATCTCTACACTATGGATAAACTATCGTGTAAAGACAGTGGTTGCTCTGTAGTGCCTAGACGTGGAGGTGGAAGAAGTCTTGGGGGCCATCTTGTCCAACCCCATCACTTCACAGATGAAGAAAGTGGGACCAGAGAGATCTGCCTTGCATAAAATCACACAGGAAGTAAATGGACAGAGTCAGGATGTGAACCCACGTCTTCAGGACTTTTTCCTGCATGAATGATTCATGAGTGATGAAATGCTCACTTTGAGACACTCACTCCAAGATCATCAGAGAGATTTCATTCTGCTCATTGGCCTATTCTTAATTATGTGGAGAAAGAGACAAATATTTTTAGAAATCTCAACAAGGAGGGAGGGAAGGAGGAAGGAAGGAAGGGAGGACGTTCTGCCTTTTCCACTGGGTTAACTAGGAAATTCAGTTAGTTAACTAGAATGCCTCCAACCTCATAAATTGGAGTTTAAATGAATAAATACTTCTCTGAGAACTTAGCCGTATTCATCCACCAGTGGGCACTATGTCCTAATTTCTTGGGGCACATGAGATAAGAGCTGGCTTTAATTTCTGGCCAGGGGTTCTCATTCATGCTGCAACTGCATGGTTTTTTCATCTTCTGTAGTTTCTAAGCACAGATATCTCTCTGACATAGAATTCAAGCCAGCCGTGGGCAAGGGCTGACTCTCCTTCCCCTCCTTGAGGCCATTTCATTCCTCCTGAGAGGGTTATGGGGAGGTGGAAGGGAACTGAAGGCACCTGGTGGGAATATGGCTTGTAGCTTGACCTACCTCCACGAACTGTGGGGTATTTGGAATTTAGAGGCATTTCCTCACCATGCTAAGTGCTGAGGATACCCTAAAGCTGAAATGGGCCTCGGCCTCAAGGAGCTCACATACAGATGGTTTTTTGCAGTCAAGTGTGGGATGATGGGTAGAGAGACAGTTCCATGTGAATGACCCTTGCTGGGAATGAGCTGCAGGCTTGTTAGCGATGGGATGCACAAACTCAGTGCCATCTTCCACCTTTTCCCCCCTCAGTTTCGAAAGGAGCCAATAAAGAAAGCGGAGGTGCTCCTGGGAATTCCCGAGGGTGCAACCCACCGGCCCTGGGAGGCCTGTTTGCAGGTGGCTTTCCTGTGCTGAGGCCAGCGGGCCAGAGGGACGGCTCAGGTAAGGGGGCTGGTGGCAGAAAGCTGGAACAGGCTCTTGGCAAAGCAGCGCATTGAAGCTCTGACGTCATTCCATCGCCGGGTCCTAGAGGTGGAAGGGAGCTCAGAGGCCAGATAGCCCTACTTCCTTGTTTTATAGATGAGGACATGAAGACCAAGGGAGGTTAAATGACTGCTTGAGTCAGGTGGGATTTGAACTCGGGTTCTCTGACTTTAGATCCTGCTTTCTTGAGGTGGAGGGAGAAGGCAAGGGAAAGCGAGAAGAGGAAAGAAAGAAAATGATGGGAAGGGAAGAGGAGGGAGAATTATAGGGGAAAGAGAGAGAAGGAAAGAGAGGGGAGAAAAGAAAGAAAAGGATGGGAAGAGGAGGGAGAAGGCAAGGGAAAGGGAAGAAGAGAAGGGAGAAGAGGAAAGAAAGAAAAGGATGGGAAGAGGAGGGAGAAGAGAGAAAGGAAGGGAGGGGAGGGGAGCAGAGAAAAGCTTTTCACAAATTTTGTGAGGGGTAGTTGTTGTTTCAAGTATACTTAATGATGCTTTTATTCACTGCTTTTGACAAAGGCAGAGAAATCCACCAGCTGGCTGAGTTCTAAGCTCCGGGTAGTGTCTCCCCAGCCAATCATCACCCAGGGCTTTGGGGCTGCCCTGGACCTTCTGAGAACCCAATTTAGAACATTACAACACATTAGAACAGAAGGAACAAAGCTTAATGCTGTGGAAAGTCTTGAGTTGAGAAACAGCAGGGGGAAAATGGGGTTTTTATCAAAGTCGTAAACTATGCTTGTCCCTTAGTAATTAGAATGACAAAAGTTCACTTTTTGTAAAGCCCATAAAGGGTTTTATTCACAATCATAGGGTGAGGCATAAGGGCAAGTGTCATTCTGCCCATTTTAGAGATGAGGTGTTAAGTGATTTAATCATACTCTCACTACAGACTGAACCAAGGTCTTCTGCCACCTGATCCGATGCTCAGCATTAATAGGGTGGTTCTTCTGGGAAGCAGAAGAAACTGGCCTTGAGTTTTTAGATTAATTCTATTTTTTAGTGCCCATAGATGGAGGGATGAAGGACAACAGTAGGGACAAAATTCCGACAAAGCTAGGCCTTATTTATTCCTCCTCATGGAACCGAAAGGTTTTCCAGGCCCCTTGCTACCCCTGGCCAGGCGGAAGGCCCCTGGGGATGCCCGCCAGCACTGGGCTCCTCTGGGCCCCGTGGTGACGTCACTGACGGCCGCTTTGGTCTCCAGGTGGTGGGTCCAGAGCTCCGTCCCCTCGGCTTCCCACGAAGAGCATCAACGCTCCGCTGAACCCCCCTGCGTCTCCGAGACTGGGCAATGCATCGGACACCTCGGCCCTCTGCAGATCTGTCCCTCCCCGCCCCAACGTGCCCGCCCCTCCTCCTCCCACCACCCCTCCCCCGCCTCCTCCTCCCCTCCCTCCAGCCGTGGTTCTCTCTGCCATTGGCAAGCCCCCCCTCGTCTCCCCCCCGGCTCTGATGACCAAAACGTCCGCCCAGATAGTGCCGCCCCCTCCCCCCACCATGGCCCCCCCACCTCCTCCCCCAACGCCCCCTCCTCCCCCGCCACCTGTGCAGGGCGAGAAGGCGGCGAAGCCCACGATCGGGCCGCTGCACCTGCCCCCTCCTCCGCCCCCTCTGCCCCTTGTTCCCCCCTGTGGCTTTCCTGGGCCAGTTTCAGAGGCTTCTGCTCCCAGCCCTCCTCCGCCAGACCTTCGGGATCCCCCCCTCCCCGCCTCCACCCCCTCCACCCCTCCCTCTCTATTCCTGCCCTTCCCCAGATCATCTTTGTCCCCGACGTCCCTGCCAGGCTCCAATGGCGGCAGTGATTCTGCCCCTCCGCTTCCACGCAAGTCCCCTAATGCCAGCTTGCAGTCCGTGCCCCTTCCACCCACCCCCCCAGCCTCCCAGTCCACCATACTGGTGCAGAAGAAGAGGCCTGGCAGAGGGGCAGGTAAGTGAACCTCCACCAGGACGGGGTCCAGGAGCTGGTTGTTAAATATTCGGTGTTAGCGTTTGCACCCCAGAAATCGGCAGGCACTAAAATCAGGGCTTCATTTCTTGTTTTGTAGACTGTCCAGTGAATGATGGGAAAAGTGTTAATAATGCGGATTAAACTTAAAACCTTCTGTGGGTACCTTAATTTAATATTTGAGTAGAGAGCTGGTTGTTAAACATTCACCAACACACCCCAGTCATTTGGAGATCTGCTTGTTAAACATTCACCAGCATATCCTGAATCAGTGTCAGAAGATTTTTTTTTTCATTGTTGCTAAAGATTCTGGAATTGTCCAGTGTCATCTAGTCCAATCTCTTCATTTACTAGATGAGAAAATAGACCCAGGAATGATTTATCCAAGGTCATACAGGTAATAAGAACCAGAGGCAGAATCTGAACCCCTTCCAGGTTCAAAGCAGTACTTTTTCCAGTTCCTGCCTGTGATAATAGCTGTGTGACCCTGGCCAAGTCACTTACTCTCTTGGGCCTCAGTTTCCTTATCTTTAATTCAGCATACTGTTATTGTTGTGCGGATTAGAAGAGATAACTTTTGTATATCACTCTACCAACCATTAAAACCATTTATAAATACTGGATAGAAACAGAAGAAAAGGTACCAAAGGAAACAAGTTTGGGGAAACAGTCTACCCAGAAAAGGTACATGTTGGAGGGAACACAGGAATGAATGTGTTCAGATACCTTTCCAGGTATGCGAATTGGAAAAGATAACAAAGGCCTAGGGGGAAAACCTCTAATCTTATTACCAAATGAAAGGTGATCTAGAACACATCAGAACTACCTGATTATAGACCTTCTGTCCCATCTGTTTAAAATTTCATGATAACAAAATAATTTTTATTTTTAAAATATTTATGTTAATTACTACAAATAAATAATTTGTTGTTAAATTAATAATTGAATATAGTTAAACTAAATTATTCATAACTAATAAAATATTGTTAGTAATGTTATTAATAAGTCATCATTTAAGTAAACTAATAGATAATTGAATGTTGTTGGTAATGTAAATTATTAATAATCAATAAACCATTATTAGTCATTAGTAATTAGTTGGCTGACTAACTTGTCACAGACAGCTCCCTTAGACTTTAAGTTTCAAAGCAAGGCATTTCCTCACTGGGCATCCTGTAAACCAATTAAATCACAAGTCTGATTCAGAAAAAACAGTAGCAAATGTCCATGTCTCCTTCAATTATTAATCCCACTGCCTTTTTACCCTTTGGGATTAGGAAGTTTGGCCTTAGGGCTGACTTCAGCCCCTCCTGCTGCAGCAGTGGCCCATCCTCTAGGGTGCTGTGGTCAGGACAGATGGAAAAGTCCGACCTCTCCTTGCAGGCTTTCCAAGGAAGCTCGTCAGTCTCGTCTTCTCTAGGCTCCATCATCCCAGTTCCTCTGGTCTTTTCTCACGGGGCCCATTTCAGCCCTAGACCATTGTTACCATCTTTTGAACCCTCTCTAAGCCATCCCCATAGCTGGAGTTGTATACAGCCAAGTGTATGCTAGTAGCCTTGCGTGACAGAAAACAGCATTTTCCTCCTGGTTCCATGAGAGAAAGGTTTGTCTCATTTGCAAATTCTTGGGCCGAGCCCTGCTGATCAGTTTCCCAACAAATAAGCCCAAGGCAGTAGTTAGAGGGTAACAGATGCTGCTCTTGAGATGTCTCTCTGCACTTGCCTACATCTAGTCAAATATTCCAGGTGTCTTTGGCCGCCTGGAACAGCCAGGGAAGAATCTAGAAGACTTTTAAGGGAACCACACTGCATCTCTGCAGTGCTTAACCTGTGAGGTACAGGCAGAAGCGCGTGTTCATGGCCAGGGTGGATTGCTTAGAAGTCAGGTTTCCACTTTTTCCTGGGGAGAGAACTCCGAAAGGATCGCTTCTAAGATCTGCCTCGATTCCTTGGCCAGAAATTCCGTGACCTCACCTCCTCCCAGGGCCTTCCAGCAGCTTCTTTCTGGTGTCTTCAGTAAATCGTCACCATCTTCTCTGTCTCCATGGTTTTCGCCTCAATGTGCCTGTTCTGGCACATCTTGCCAATGGGCGGCCATGGCAGCCTGAAGGCAGAGTTTCATCAGTAGAGGTTCCCACTTCTTTTTCTTCTCAGTCATTCTCAGTGATCTTTTTACTGACAACACTTGAGTCTCTGCCAGCTCCATACACTTCTCAGGGAAACATACTTCAGCTCACTGGCCTCTTGTACCTTCGTGCCCTTTCGTCTCTGGGCTGCTGCTAGGCTTCTTGACAAATTCCCCCACATCCTGGGCCAGGTTCTTACTTCTCCTGACCAGTGCTGTCTTCATTTTGGCCTGGATCTGGAAGTTCGTCCCCATTTGAAAGATGAGGCAAGTGAGAGAGAAATGACTTGACAGTAGCAGTAAGTGTTGGAGTCTTCTGGTTCTGAGGCCAGAGTCCTTTCCCCCGCATCACCAAGGTCTCTCCAACATGGCTCAGAGCTTGCCCTGTATTTAATACAATGGGACAGTCTCCAGACCATGGGGTGCCTGGGCGGGTGCCATCTTCCTCCTGGTCCCTTACTACACCGTGCTGACCTTTCAATTTCCTGATATTTCCTGGTTTTCCAGCTACTTGATTGGGTCCTATGCTGTAGGCAGGGACTGTGGGAGACCCAGAGAGTTATTAGACCCACTTCCCTGCCCTCATGGATTTTACAGTCTGGTGGGGGAGAAAAAGAAAAATTCAGGGCAGGTTCAATTCAATAAATATTTATTGAGTATTCATGGGGAAGGGACCATGCTGAATTTAAAACAACTTTCTAAAATTTATTTCTTATTAATTTATTTTGGGTTATCAACAGTCACTTCCATAAGCTTTTGAGTAAAACAACATTTTAATAGCACTCATGAGGACATACCAACTCCTTAGCCTAGCCATTTCAAGTCCTCCACAGTCTGGTCCCATTAACCCTTTCCAATCTTTTCCCGTATTAATGAGAAATGAGAATGTAGGGCTTTAGAGCTAAGATTCTCTGGCTCTAGTCCCCTTCACATACCCTGGATTCCAGCCAAACTTGACCTGCCTCCATCATCCCCAGCTGCCTTCCCCAAGGCCTTTCTTCCTCCTCCTCTCTGAGTTTCCTCAGGGCTCACGGGCAGTATCTGCTTCTCTTTGAAGTTCTTTCCAGGCAGTGGATAGAGCAGCAGACTTAGAGTCAGGAACTCCTGAGCTCTCAGACACCTACTTGACCCTGGATAATTTATTTAACCTTTGTTACCCTGCTCGTTTGATATTGCACTCGGGTCTATTAGGGCTCCATCTGTTTCTTCCTCAGGGACTGGCGGCGGGAAGCTGAATCCACCCCCAGTTCCCCCAGCAAGGTCCCCCACGACAGAACTGTCCAGCAAAAGTCAGCAGGCCCTGGCCTGGGTGGGCACACCACAGCCTGGAGCCCCCTTGAGGAATGGAAACTTCCACATCACAGGTAACCTGCCAACTCCCAGATAGGCAGCCCACCAACTCCCCCATCCCGAGCACTCTTAGCTGGGCTTAGACTTCTGATGAACTTGGGAAGTTGAGTCATGCCACATGGGCTCTGAGGTTTACTAAGCAGACATTTTTGGAATCAACTCTATTCCCACTGCCCTAGGCAATTATGAAAATGAAAATGTGCATGCCTGCTCTGCAGTGCTGGTAGCAAACTGCCTTCCAGAGGCGTCTGTACAAGCAGAGGTATCATCTGGGACAAACCAACCGTGAAAAGCTGGGTTTGTGGAAAGAGGAAGGCCAGCCTTTAAAATGTGCATGAGAAGTTTGGGGAGGCAAAGACCTTAGGGGACTAGGGCCCAGTGGGCCTGGAGTTGTGCCCACTCTAAGGAGATGAGGTTCTTGGAAATATGAGGCCCTCCTCTCCAGACCCAGTTTGCATCAAGAGAGCCGAGGTATCTCAGGAAGCCCCCTCAGTTTTTGCTTTTGAAGCTAGGGTTCCCTTTGACAGCAGGGGCAAGGGATCCTTATTCCCCCTTTACTCAAGAGCCCCCAGTTATCAGGACTGCCCAGGGCAGTTCAGAGGAGCCAGATGCTACCTTTGACCTTGGAGCCTGGAGGCCCCATATCAGCTCTGTTATCCCTGCCCAGGAAATGGTTGTTGTTGGAGACAGTTAAACTTTAAATGTTATCACTTAAAAATTATTTGTGTTGGAATGTCCCACACACAGACACATGTTTGAAGGGAGTGGTTATGTGTGGATGCCGGCTCCTCCTCCCTTCCTTTGTCTCCCTTATACCCCAAATGACTGTTTAAATCACTTGCAGTGTGAACCCTGGGTTTAAGCAAGAGGAGGCAGAGAAGGGCTTAACAGGGTTGGATCCATTCCCTGGGGTTTCCTTGCTGGAGTAAAAACAGATTCCAAGCGCACGATTGTCACTAACTAGCACGTTTCTCATTTTCTTCTTCTCGGTCCAGATGACTTTGAGTCCAAGTTTACTTTTCACTCTGTAGAAGACTTCCCCCCTCCTGATGAGTACAAGCCCTGCCAGAAGACATATCCCAGCAAGGTCCCCAGAAGTGAGTATGGCTCATCTCTCATCGACTAGACAAAGGGTGCTTTTTTGTTCTCGAATTTTCTGAAGCCGTGGACTAGAGTGAGTAGAAGCTGCAGGATGTGCTAGGCTCAGCATCAGGGTTCAGCTCCTAGATATGACCACTTAGGTGCCGTGTGACCCTGGGTGAGTCATTTAAACTTCGGGGCCTCAAACCAATGGGCAACTTCCTCGTATTTAACTACGAAATCACAGACAGTTGGGAAGGGAATTCCCACACTAGAAATTCCCTGGCTGATGAGAGCATAGATCTCTCGCTTATCTGTGTATTTGCCTGTAAGTATTGTGTAACATCATAATGAATATATAATTTAGCTTCTTATAGGATTGTGTAGGGTAGATCTGGAGCTAGAAGGAGCCTTAGTGGTCATCTTCAGAAGTCTGTCTGGTCCAAGGCTTTCATTTTACAGATGCAGAAACTGAGGCCCACAGAGGTCAAGTGACTCATCCAAGGTCACACAGTTAACAGGTGACAGAGCTGGGTTCAGATTCAGATGTTCTGATTCCAAGGTTTTCCATTGTGCCGCTCTGCAGAATAAAGCCATGATAAATACTTATTGAAAAATACTAACTCATATTTATATAAACGCTCTAAGGTCTGTCTACAACACTGTTCCCACAACAGCCCTGTGAGGTAGGCATGCAAGTTTTATTATCCCCCGCTTTTTTTTTTTTTGATGAGGCAGTTGGGGTTAAGTGACTTGCCCAGGGTCGCACAGCTAGTAACTGTCAGATGTCTGAGGTCACATTTGAACTCAGGTCTTCCTGACTCCAAGGCCGGAGTTTTATCCACTGTGCCACCTAGCTGCCCCTATTATCCCCCTTTTTATAAACGAGGGCTGAAGTCTAATAATTTGTCTTGGGTCATGAGCCAGGATAGGTCAGAGCCAAAACTGGAACCCTCTTCTCACCCCAAATTCATTGGTTTTTTTCCCATTAATTCAGTTTTCTTTTTAATTATAAACTTAATAGACATCATCAACAAACATAAACATTTTAGTATACAAAGAACAGAAAAATAGAATTGCGTATGAAACTGAACTTTAATTATGTCTCTTTAAAGTGTGTATTACATTTAACACAGTAGTAATAAAACTACCCTGCTTCCATTGCTGTATCAGTATGCTAGGCTGTATCTCGGTGAATGCATGAATGCATTTATAAAGAACTTTAATTAGTCATTGACCTTCCAAGGAGAACCAGTGAACCATCCCTCCATTTCATGGACCTGGCAAATTTGGTTTTATCTTGCATGGGGGTGGGGGAAGAAAGAGATACACACATACATACATACACACATATGCATATATGTGTGTATATGCATATGTATATTTATGTATACACATACATGTATGTCAATACTGATGTATTCAGCGCAAAGGTTGGCATAGGGGAAGGTGGCAAAAAAAAATCAGAAGGGGCAGCTAGGTGGCACAGTACATAGAGCACTGGCCCTGGAGTTAGGAGGACCTGAGTTCAAATTCAGCCTCAGACACATAGCACTCACTAGCTGTGTGACCCTGGGCAAGTCACTTAACCCTGACTGCCTCGCCAAAAAAATAAATAGATAGATAGATAGATAGATAGATAGATAGATAGATAGATAGATAGATAAATAAACAAGTTGGAAAATGGGATGCAGAAGTAAGAAGTGAGAGAAGCCAACAATTTGTAGACGATAGCAAAGCTCCATGCCTCTAAATCTGAATGTTTGTCTGAAGAAGAGAGTTTGGAGGCCCTGGAAGTGGGACGCATCGAATAGCATCATAAAAACTGAGACTGATTCTATTGGAAGGCAGGAAAGGCCCATTACTGACGAGTCACTTCCTACCTGTACAGTAAATGCTTGACTTGTGAGACCAAAGATCAGAATCGATAGCAAATTAGAAGGAAGACTGAAAATGAGAAGATAGAATCCACAATAGAGATGTTCCATTGTCGTCGTCATCATCACCAAGTACAGAATTCTTCTAAGGTTTTCAAAGGCAGCTAGGTGGCGCCATGGTACACAGAGCTCTGGGCTTGCAATCAGGGAAGCTCATCTTCATGAGTTCAAATCTGGCCTCAGACACTTATAGCTCTGTGACCCCGGGTAAGTCACTTCACCTTGTTTGCCTCAGTTTCCTCATCTGTAAAATGAGCTGGAGAAGGAAGTGGCCAACTGCTCCAGTATCTTTGCCAAGAAAACCTGAAATGGGGTCATGAAGAGTTGGACACGACCAGGATTACAGCAACAAAGGTTTTCAAAGCAGTTTGCATGTACTAACTACTTAAACCAGTTGTAGACACTGAAATGAGAAATGAATAAAAGAGTAGATTTTTTTTAATAAAAAATTTTATTAATTTATTTTGATTTATCAACAATCACTCCCATATGCTTTTGAGTTGAAAATTTAAAATAGTAGATTTTAGCATAGACTGTCACCGTGTCCTAGGGAAGTTCAACTGATAAAATTCAGTCATCATAACAGAGTGCAAAAGAGCCCAGAAACCTCCTCTGGCAGCAAACAATTTGTCTCCTTGCCAAGTCAAAAGAAATAGAACCAAGGACAGCACCCGTTTAGTTAATCAGTCGGGCAGGAAGCATTGATGAAGCACCTTCTTTGTGCCAGGCACTGTGTGAAGTACACTGGTTTGCAAATAAAATTAATTAAATAAAATTAAGGTGGTTTGTAATAGCTTAGTGAGGAGGACAGCAGAAAATGATGAGCAATACTACATGGGAAAATGGCAAGAAGCGGTAGAGAGTAAAACAAACGTAGAGAAATCCGACTTCATCAAATTAACCCACGGGCATTTGAGAATGAAACTGGAAAGGAGACAAAGAGATGAAAAATACAAAAGGTCATTACTGTTGAGTATTTAATAAACCAAAATGTCACCCTAACGGCGCTTCACCATCAAAGTGTCTCCTGCATGGACCTCAAAACCTAAGATTTTGTTAAGTGTATTATAATAATAGAATAACAGTGATGACGTCCAGATTATTTATGTCAGGGGAGGTTTAAAGCAGAGATGTATGCTTACCGAAGGTGTTGGCCATCATCATGGAGGATAGACAATACAGAGTCTAGATGGAAGAGCGGAAGAGGAGCTTCTTCTGAAGAAAGAAGTGCTCCAGTTCTTCTTCCAAATGATATCATATTGACTGCATCAAAGCCTATGACACTGAACAGCTTCCAAAATAAACTTCAGAATCTCTCAAAAGAATTTACCATATCTATCTGCACAAGAAAAACCAAATGAATGAAGAATGCCTGTTATGCAGAATATGATCTGCCATTGGATGGGGAAACCATTGAGCTGGTCAGTCTAGACATGAATCTTGAACAGGCACTACACATGGGTGCCGAGCTGGGCTTAGGAGGAAGAGAACCTTTGGGCAATTGCAGTTTCATTTTGCTTTACTAGAGGTAGGTGGGTGGCTTTTACTAGAGGCATGTTGGGTGGACTCTTTGTGGAGGATTTATGGGAGGGCGTGGATAAGAGTCACAAAGGAAGAGAAGCTGGTGGCTCAGTGAATAAAATGCCATACCTGTAGTCAGGAAGACTTCAGTTCAAATCCTGCTTCAGATATTTAACTAGCTGTATGATACCGGGCAAGTCCCTTGACTTCTCTAAGCCTCAGTTTTCTGATCTATAAAATTAGGATAATAATAGCACCTGTCTTCCTGGGTTGTTGTGAGCATCAGTAAGATAACATATGTGAAGGACTTTGCAAACCTTTAGCTATCATTATCATTATTCTTAGGAGAAGATATTATCCTTAAAAGAAGGTCATTACCCACATGGATAAGATCACACATCTAATCAAAATAACCCGAGCTGTTGTAGAAGGCAGGTAGAGAGGATATCACTGATATCAAAGAAGGAACCACAGACCATTTAAAGAGTCCGAGTCATAGAGCTGATAATGAAAATATTAGAACTCTAAGAAAAATAGTTATTATACTAATAGTGTTATACTACTACCAAGATGGTGCTTCATGGGTTGCTGGTATGGTGGAGAGTCATCAAACGCTCCAAAGAATTAAAGTCTCCAAAGAATTAAAAAAGTTTTACCCAGATGGCAGTGGAGAGGTGCTTGGTGGGTGTGAACAGGCAGCAACACATTTCAAACAAGGAATGATCAAAGATGCCAGGAGTTAAAGATGTCACCAGAGGAAAAAAAGTGAGCTTGTCTTGTGGGAAAGAGGGAAGGGTGAATGTCCCATGAGCTGCACTGGAACCTTTGCTATGTCACAAGGAAGTGAGGACCCCAGTACACTGGGTAAATCTCCTGTGACGATCTCATGGACACAGATGGACAAAGGTCACAGAGGATGGGCCAGCAGGGATGGCTTGGGGGCCACATGGCATTGGTTGGGGGGGGGGTGTCATTGGAGGAGAAAGCCACATGCATGAGATCACCAGGCCATTTGGAGTATGGGAGTCCCAAACTGAAAAGCAAGCCTTTTTACTCCAGCTTTCTTTCATTTAATTTAGTTTCATGTAGTCGGCTCATCTCATTTGTTTTTCTCACTGTTGTATCTTTGGTAAGTTACGCACTGATGAGAACAGGACAGGGCAGTAAGACATCTTGTTTGTCCTCCTTCTCTGCGTCATAGACCCCTTAGGCAGTCTAGCAAAGCCTCTGGACCCCTTCTCAGAAAGTGTCTCAGAACAGAATCATGATTTTAAGTAACTGAAGGAAATTCCAATTCCAGTTAGAGGTTAGTGTAAATAAAGATGTAATATTTTGCCCCTCCAAGTTTACTGACCCCTTGACATCTGTCCACAGAACCTAAGTTAAGAACCCCCATCCTAAGCCATTCTGGGAAAGGGGATTCTTAATTTTCAAATATCCTGCAATCTCTTTGAGCATTGTAGGGACTTTAGAGGCAGGAAATCCCTCCTAATGCAGAGCCCTCCTGTTATAGCTAGACCCACTGCTTTGAGTTTAGTTCTTGGTGGAAATGGAGGCTAGCTACCCCAACTCTCTACCCTGCAGGGCCATGGTTAACGGACTCTGTGTTGTGTTATTCCTGTCCTCAACAAGGAGTGAAATCGACTATGAATTGGTATTTGTGGTCTTAAGAAATGAGCTCACCCTCTCAATTCAGGATGGGAACACTGGGAAGAGATACATGAATAACCCCTGGCAACACTCAGTGAGCATGTGAGTGCCTGTCCTTGGGAATCCCAGTGCTAGATGTTATTAGATTAATACAAGGCCAATCTTTGATTATTCCGGTCTGCTAGCACTTCCGTGTCTCTTCCTGCCCTCCGGCTCACTATTGACCTGGTTCCTTTGTGATTTGGACTTTTCACAGTCGAGAAAGCAATGTCATCTTACTTCTGAGGAATTAGTTGTCCTGTTTCAGTATTAATGACATGTGTGGATTGTGCCCTTTGTCTCACATGCACTCATGCATGCACACACACACACACACACACACACACACACATATACATGTTACATGCTCATATCCTGTGCTTGTACCAGGAGGGATGTTGCCACTCTGTGGCTTCTAGGTGTTTCCTTTGTTGTTTCTTACTCCCACCATCCCTGACACCTGTGTCCTAGGGTTGGGGAGGGTCTGCACCTCTCTGTCCTGATGGACATGTTTAAGATCTCTTTACCCTTTAGTTCACCAAGATGAGGTTGAAATGTTTACAGAGAAAAAGAGAACAAATAGAAAAGCATAAAAAGAGATGTATTTACAAAATATGGATGTCTTATCCTGACTTACCTAAAAGAGTCATCACTGTGCTATATGTGTGTGTGATATATTAATACAGGTGAGACCGTGTAATCTCTCAGCCAAAGAAGCTGCAGGGGCTCCACTCTGCTTTTCTGTTAAAATACAAACACTTTAGATTGTCATTTAAAGTGCTCCAGAGTCTGGCTTCAGCCTGTTTTCCAAGCTCATTAGACATTCCCCAGCATGCATTTAGCTACACTTCAACTAAATGAGCTTGTTGGCAGTTCCCTGTAAACAATACTGCATCTTCCTTCTGATTGCCCCTCAGATTCTTTTTTTAAAATTAAAATTTGCAACTAAAATTAATTTTTAAAAATTATTAAAAAAAATTTTTTTAGCGACCAAAAATTTATGCTCTCTCCCTCTCCCTCATCACTCCCATTAAAAAAGCAAAGCCAAGCCCGTTTTACAACCAAGTATGGTCAAGCAAAACAAATTCCTACTTTCGCCATGTCCAGAAAATGTGGGTCTCAGTTGAGCCCTTCATCTCTGTCAGGAGGTCACATGTGTCCTTGTGTCACAAGTGCCACATATTTCCTCGTGAGTCCTCTGGAATCATGGTTAGTTGTTGGGTCAATAATCATTGAATTTATTTTTAAAATTTTTTGGTATTTTATTTTTTAATTACATGTAAAATAATTTTTTAACATTTCTTTTTTTTTTCAGTTTTGAGTTTTAAATTCTTTCCCTCCCTCTCTTCAATCCCCCCTCCCTGAGAGGGCAAGCGATTTGATACAGACTTATGTAGTTATACAAAACATATTTCCATATTAGCCAAGTTGCAAAAAAAAAAAAAACACAGATAAAAAGCAAATAAGAATTTTAAAAAAGTGTGCTTCGCTCTGCATTCAGACTCCACCGGTTCTTTCTCTGGAGGCAGATAGCATTTTCATTGTGAGTCCTTCAGAATTGTCTTGGATCATTGTGCTGCTGAGAATAGCTAAGTCATTCACAGCTCAGGTGATCACTGAATTTAAAAGTATTAAACTGAAATGAGAACTCTCACCTCCTGGCTTGTGCACAGCTGGGCCCTGTGTCTGAATGGTTTCCACAACTCTGTCCTGCAGTATTCCTGGGTTTTGTGGCCCTGGACAAGTCACTTAACCAACCATCTGCCTCAGTTTCCGCAACTATAAAATAGGGATAATAATAGCACCTCCATCACCCGAATGCTGTAAGGGTTAAGTGATATCATATGTGTAAAGCACTCAGCACAGTGCCTGGCACACAGTAGGCCCTAAACAAATTTGTTTCCTCCCTTAGAGGCCGCCTCTTACACAGCACCTTTCTTGAGCATCCTCTTTACCTATTATTTGTGCTCTCTCATTCTTGAAATTATTTTGCATTGCTCGGTATACACATTGTATTTACTCATCTGTGTTTATAAGTTGGGTCCTCCTAACAGCATGTAAGCTTCTTGAGGGCAGGGACTGGGTTGTTTTGTGTCCCCAGGGCTGAGCACACTTAGGGGCACTGAGAGTGACTTGCCCAGGATTAAATAACCAGTGTGTGTCAGAGGCAGGCCTTGAACCAGGTCTGTTGGCTTTGAGGTCAGCTCTCTAGCCACTAGGCTATACTGCCTTTCCTTCTGTAAAACAGGTGCTTAATACTGCTTATTGAATTGTGGTGAAGGACATCACGGGAACCCATTTGGAATGACTGCAGATTGGGAGCCACTTGGCACAGTGCCTGACACATAGTAGGTGCTTGGTAAACGCTGATTGGATTGGATTGGAAGGGAGTTGGAGACTAAAAAAGTCAGAGATGGAACTCAGATCTGCACCAAGCCAGTGGACAGGAGGATGAAACAAATTTCACAGCCCAGCTACTTTTTTTTTTTTAGGCAATTGGGTTAAGTGACTTGCCCAGGGTCACACAGCTAGTAAGTGTCAAGTGTTTGGTCTGAAGCCAGATTTGAACTCAGGTTCTCCTGACTTCAGGGATGGTGCACTATCCACTGCACTACCTAGCTGCCCCCTAATCTAGCCACTTTTGTTGTTATCTAGAAGACAGAGACAGGCAGACCTTGGTTAAAACAGCTATGATGTGGAGAAGCTTGAACAAGAATTATTAGAAGCACAGAAAGTTGGATTATTTATTCTAGTCGTCACACATTCATGCATTCATTCTTTCATTTATTCAGTGACCATTTATAAAGCACTCACTGTATATAAAAATTTAGAGTAACAAGAGCTTTTGCCTCCTCTGACAGTGTGTCTGCAAGTAAGATTGTGGATGAGAAAGTGACCACCCATGCCAAGAAACTCCCGGGATTGTAGGTTTAGAGCCAGGAGGGACTTTAAAGGTCATCACTTCCAACACCCTCCATTTTAGAGGTGAAATGACTGAAACCTGGAAATGTGCAGAGGAAGGATCTGAACCCAGGTCTCTCTGACTCTAAGTCTAACGCCTCTTATTTCAAAGGTTTTCAATTGATCGACTCTTATAACCAGTAATGACTTTGCTATGGTTGCTTGCAGACACTGATTTTGTAAACGTTTCTTTGTCCTGAGCCCCGAGGTGTGCCAATTAATCCTGATTAATTAATCACATCTACCCTTTTCAGGTCCAACTCCAGGTTCCTGGCTCCCAACAGAAACAACTGGCCGGGGCAGTGAGGACACCAAGGGCCGAAACTCTCAGGTAACAGCAGGTCTCCAAATGTCAAGCTCAGGGCTTCAGTTCTCTCCAGGGGTCCAGAGAATGAGCCAGAACGTATTTTCTCCCAACAGTCAAAAGTTTCTCCTCAGTTTTCCCCTTAATGGAAAAACTCATTGATCTTAAACAAAGATGAGAAACACATGATTTTATTTTATTTTTTTAGGACATATGCTCTTCTTAAAATTTTTTAATTTAATATTCTATTTTTTCCAATGATATGTAAAAACAGTTTTAACATTTTTTTTTCAAATTTTGAGTTCCAAATTCTCTCCCTGTCTCCTCTCCCCTCTTCATTGAGAAGACAAGCAATTTGACAACGGTTATAGATGAAACACATGATTTTAGTATCTGACGGTGGAAACAGGGCTTTCCCGGGTTCTCTTGAGGCATATTGTAGGAGAATATGTCTATTTCTGAAGAGAACAATATAGGATAGGAGCAAGACTTGTGATTTCTAGTACCGGGAGCTCCCAGAGGAGAAAGCTTCTTTGTGAATGCAAGTGGGGACCTTCTCTGCAATTTATAGAGCCACCAGTTCTTAGCCATTATTATGTAATTATTTTTAGGAGTCTTCATTTCAGTCCTGAGAGAGGTAACACAGTACAGTACAGTGGAAGGAGGAGATTTGAAGGAAGTGGGTTCAGATCTCAGCTCTGCCACTTACTAGCTGCGTGACTCAGCACAAATTACTGCATCTCCTTGGGCCTCAGTTTCCTCATCTGTAAAATAAGGGTGTTAAATAAAGATGTGTTTTAGGGCTCTTTCTGATCTAAATCTATGATCTGAATCACAGGGTAGCTCCTGATCACAAGTGAAAACCAGGGAGGCCCAAATGGACTTGAGATGGGGAAGTCCTTGGGTGACCCAGGACAGTCTCTTAGCCCAGCTGAAGATATTTGGGCTTCCTTACCCCCAAAGAACTGACTTCCCCTATCTCACTGTGGAGGTTCAGTCCTCGTCTTTAAGAATTATTGTTGGAAATGTTGTATCAGTCCCTTCCTATTCTGGCATTTTGCTTTTTTTCCATTTGCGAGTTTGTGACAGCCTCAACAATCTAGTGTTAGCTCTATTAGCTCATTGGTTCTTTTTACTGACTCCAGTAGCTAGATGAAAGATGAGAGGAAGGTGGCATGGCCAGGGGCCCCTTGCAAACCACCCCTAGAATCTTGGAATCAGGAAATCTTCAAGGTGCCATCTCCAACCTCAACATCAGCACCACGGCCAGAGCAGTCGATATTTATAGAGCCCTGCCTGACCTCTCTTATTTGATATTCACAACTTTGTTAGAGAGGTGCTACCAGTATCTCCATTTTAGAGATGAGGAAACGGAGGCTGAGAGAGATGAAGTGACTTGCCCAGGGTCACATAGCTAGCACATGAGGTCATTCACACCCAGGCCTTCCTGGCTCAGCACTGTGTCCTTCAGGCTGCACTGCTCCTAAGTTGAAGGGACCCCAGAGATCATCTGGAAGCAACTTAGTTCCCTAGTAATGACAGAAGACTATAACATGAAACTATGAGGATGATTATCTTTGTAAAGTGCTTTATAAATGTGAGTTATCACCAGTAAGCATCTAAAAGGTCCCTGACATCATTACATCTTATCCACGTGAGCCAGAACTAGTCTTGTTCCCAAAAATGGCCATTTCAGTCTCTGCTGGGAGCCTACTTCAATATCTAATCATTCCCATATCCAGGAGATCGTTCTTTGTGTTAGCTGGAATCCTGGTCTGTGAGTGTTCATTTTGGTGAAATTGAAGCTTTCACCCAAAATGTCCAAGTCCTCAGCATCATGGGATACTTGTTAAGAACGGCTTCACAAGAGGCTTCCTTTGGGAGGAAGCAGGTATAGACTCTTAGAGAGAAACACCAAGAATCATTGAATCATGAAATCTCAGGAATGGATCACCAAGGGATGTGTGTGTTCATTTATGCACCCAAACCTGAGTGGTCCAGTAGTGAAAGCACTGAGTTAGGGGGCTGAATGACTTCAGCTTCTCTCCCACATTTCTAGTAGGTCTATCTTAGAATCCTAGGCAAGTCACTTACCAATTAGACTGATGGTAACCAAAGCTTGCCCTAGCGGATTCTAGGGGAGCATGAGCCCCTCATATATAGTCAACTTTGTCAAAGATTTCATTCTATTTTTAATTTGTGTTTGATTTCTGATGAGGAAAAAAAAAACTCAGATGCCATATTCATGCTGGAACCATCTAACCCAACTCAGCTCTGCCACAAAGGTTAACAGGAAAAACCATTGTGCTTCCTCCTTGTAGAGATTTTTATACGAGGCCATCTTGTGTTCTTTGGGTAGGGAACAGGTGGTCCTTTGAGAGCCATACCTGAAATTGTAGCAATGCAGAATTTGAAGAATTGGAGAATCCTATATTTAGAAATTGAAGGAACCTGAGGGGGGCATCTAGCCTTCAAGGGGCCTAGAAGATCCATTACACCAGATTACCTTTGGAAGGTAACCTTGCTCTCCACAGTCCTCAGAATTGTATTATCTTTACAGCTACCACTGAAAACTCTACGGTAAGAAGACAAATGAAGTCAAAGTCCCATCATCATGCCCTGGTCTGTATAGCAGGATGGAGGAACTGTCCAAGAATGCCATCAGCAACCACACCAAACTCAAGCTTTTGTTTTTCATCTGACAAGCAAGTTCAGCAGCAAGCCCTTATTTATTATAGTTAGGTTGTTTGCACAGGCTTGGAATCAGTGTTGTAGCTGTCTTTATTTTAGCGATTTATTTTTGAAATGTGCCCAGATTGTGGCAGCCCATTTGTCTCAGTTAATACAAAGAGCCTGATTAGTGGTATTGGAGAGAGGGCATTTACTCCTCTCCCTGTTCAGTGTTCATTCTATGACTGTAAATAGCCCCGGGGGCTGGCCCTTCCATGTCTTGAGTCATCTTTAGAGAAGTGTGAGCTAGTCCCCCTATTCAAGAGTACATGGTGACTCATCGATGATGTGATTTCATAGTCTAATTGCACCAGCTAGGTAATGAAACCAAAAAATGCCTTACAGAATGGAGAACAAACAGTGTACCCACACTAGAGCACATGGGTTCGCCCGTTAGCATGGCATGACCAGAATGTCCTGGCTCTCTACCCTTTCTCCCCCTTTCCCTTGGATTTTCAACATGTGGATTTTGTTGCCTAATGTAAATATGACCCTTAATAAAAAAAAAAAAAGGAGAGGAGGGATTTTGTTTCCATACAAACATTGACTGTGTTGCTCTTTGTCTAACTTGGTTATGAATAGTAGAAGAAGCCAGTCCTACCTAATGTTATCCATCCTGTCCTCTACTTGCAAGGCTGCCTGTCACATATTTCCTTCCAGTGACTCAATCCAACAAACATTTAAGTATGTACTTGCAAATGTTATGCTTGGGTGCTGGGAAGACCTTGGGTGCCTGTCCTCAGGGAGTTTACACCCTACTGCCTATGATGCTGAGCACTTTTCCTTATGGTACCTCATGAGCTTTGAGATCTCTTTCATGCTTGGTTCCCATGGTGGTAGAAATGTTCTCAGTTGTTTCTGATCGAGATGGAGACAGTGATACTGCCCCCAAAGTATTTGCTTAGAGTGAAGAATGTCCATTTTGAGTCAATATTTCAGTGGATCTGTGATCTCATCAGTGGGTATTCCCAGCCCATCCCCATCCTTCACCCATCCTGGGTGTCTCCAGTCCACACATCCATTCACCACAAGAAATCTACTCATCGGTGTTGGGGGCCCTCAGATATAGCGAGGATCCTGGTAGAGCCTGTTGACTGACCATCGGTGAAGCTCATATTCCTGCCATGTGATCAGCCCACCCCTCACAAAAAGCATGCAGGGAAATTCCTCCCTCCCATATCTGATTCATCGCCTCCTTAGTAAGTATGGGCTTCCTCCCAGTAGGCCCAGCTTCCCCTTTTTAACAGAAGTCAAGCTATAGTGAAGCTCTTTGCCTTCCAGTGAGTTCAGTTTACTCCCCAAATTAGTGGCGTAGTGGACTTCTCTCTCCTACCTCCCCTATACCCAACCCTACATCTTTTAAAGCAGTGGAGTCATGGGAACATACATGACCCCAATTCTTTCTCCATCATAGGACGGGACATGTGGCCTGAGAGAGAAGCTCTGTGGGCTGGGCTTGGCATGTTCATAGATGAAAGAAGATAGGGAGACTCTGCTTGTGTAATATAAGATATGACTTTAAGAGAAGATAGAATTCTTCAAAAGCAAAGAAAAAGCCACAATCCATTTTTAGATTGGAATCTCTGGAAACTAGAAAGATATGATCAAATCAACAAGCAATTACTGGGTAAAAAAAAACATTTATTAAGCTCCTACTGGATGTAGTCACAGTCACTGGATTAGTAACCTCTTGCACTAATCACTGGTGCACAATTGCTAGGGACAATATTTCGCAAAATGGTACAAAGAAGAGCCTCAGTCTGGATGCTTGATGGGCATTTTCTGTGCTCCGTCTTCCATCCCAGGGATTCTCATTGCTACTGCAGTCTACATGAAGGCCTTCCTATTTAATATATATTTCATCTTTATTAAGGTTTCTCTTTATAAATCAATTTCTTGGTGTTAAAATTGTTGACGCTGAATAGAAATACCAGGACCAACACCATGGTTGGAGATGAGGACCATCTCAGGTGCAGAGCAAAGACCAGGATTTGACTCAGAAGATTAAGGGGCTATTTTAATCTGAGGATAAGACAGACTTCATGATGGGGCAGAATAGTGTTTGTGCAGAACCGGAAACTCTGGGAAACATGGACCTAGGTAAGCATCTTTTTGGAAAACAACTCTTGATACACATGCATATGCCCACATATACACAGCCAGTTGGAAAGAGAGCACTTTTAGCTTAAATGTTTGAACTCTTTGATGAAGATCCCATACCCCTTCTCAGCAAGGCTTGAGCTGGCAGATCTGCCCCTTCCCACCCCTGTCCCATGCAAACCCTCCCCTGTTCTTCTGGGGTTAAACAATTTTTAAATACATTATTATTGATCTCTTTTATTTTGACATCTCAGTTTCTCCTAGGATTCCTCCAGCTTCCCTCTTCCACGGCCATCCCATATAACAAAGATATTTTTAAAGAAAAAATAATAGGAAAAAAATCAGCAAAACTGATCAGTAGACTGACAAAGTCTCAAAATATATGCCATGTCCTTTCTCCCCACCCCACCATACCTTCTACCTCTTCAGAGGAGGAGTCTTCTTATATAGTTGATTTGGGACCATGCCTATTCTTTGTACTTCTGTTTTAATATCAGAATTTCAGAATGGAATGGGGCCTCAAAGACCAGCTAGTCCAACCTATACGTGAATGAGATCCCCTTACAATGTTCACGACCATCCTGGCTTCACTTGAGTATCTCTAGTGAAGGTGTACCCATTACCTCCCAAGGATGGTTTAGTTCCCCAAATAAAACTTAAATAGGGCATCTGGATGCTAGTAAAAAAAATTTCGAATACAGTAAGCTTCTTAAGAGTAGGGATTATTTTATACTTTTTGTATTTCTATCCTTAGTGCCTAGCACAGTGCCTGACATACAGTAGGTGCTTAATAAATGCTTGTTGCTGACCAAAGCCCCGATTTTTATTCCTCGTGCCATATGTCTATTATGGTCAGTAATGAACTCCCTTCCTTATAAACTGCCCACAGTAGCCACAGAATGGAAGAGACTTTCTTTTAAAAGTTGACTGCTATGAAAAGAGCGGCTTAATATAGAACATTGTGCAGGTTGCCCTCCCATGGCACTCTCTTGGAAGTCCATCCCACAGCCAAGGTAGGATCTTCTGGTTCCTGAGTCCTCATGAGCAGGGCTCCTAAGGAACCAATCCAGAGCCACCCCACTCCACCCCACTCCCATCACGAAGCATCCTAGGCAGAGACAAGAGGAATCTTCCCCAGTCTATGCCCATGTTTTATTTAGATCTTCCATCCTAGGAACTTTTGAGGATGTCAAGGTGCACAGCCTTAAAGACCACTGGATTTGGAATTGGGAGATCTGGGGTCCAAATCAAGCTGTGCCACTTAACTTCTGGAATGACCTCGAGCATTTTCTTTCCTCGTTGATAGGATGAGGAGCCATGATACAGTACAATGGCCCCAGTCCTGAATTTGAAATAAAAGGACCTGCATCCAAATCTTAATCCTGCCCCCGTCTCTGGGCCAGTGTTTTCTGCTCTTTGTCTTCCATTACATTTGTAAGATCAGATTTGGATTACTGTGGCTCAGTGGAAACAGCTCTCGATTTGGAGTCAAGAGGACCTAGGTTTGAACCCCAGTTCAGCTGCTTACTAGCTGTGCGACCCCAGACCTAGGCCTTAGTTTCCTTATCTGTGAAATATGGAGCCTGGACTAGCTGGTCTCTGAACTCTGCAGCAAATGAGATGATATTTTTAAAGCACTGAATATAGTGCCTGGCATGTAGTAGGTGGTTAATAAATGCTTGTTTCTTTCCTCCCTTTCAGCCCATGATCCCGCCACAGCTTGCAGAGATAGGTTTAATGATCATCACACTAGAAATACAAGAATGACATTTTCATTGCCACTGTTTATGGCCAGAGCACAGTGCCCTCTTACAAAAATAGCCCAGACCTACAGTCTGACCTTGTGGAAGGTTGTGGGAGAAAGGACAGAGGTGGGTAAGAATGTCATTAAACTCATCCTGTCACAGGAAGGTATGAATCATGGCTCATCCTGACCTACTTAGGTCACAATTACATTCAGCCAGAAGGGGCAAAGTGTTTTGTTGGGTCTCCTTGACTAGGTGAGCTCATTCCTGAAGCAAGACTTAATGGAGGCAGGGGCAGGGCCCATTCCAATCATGAGGGCTAGCGGTGCCCTTCCTCAGGGCTTCCAGAATAGTCAGGACAGTCAGACATCTGTTCTACCAACTCTCTGGTTCCAACCTCCCCCCACATTTATTTATGGGACAGCTGAGACATCACAAAGGAGGCAGTTTAGGGTGATTCGGTAGTTTTAATTTTATGCGTAGTGCATTTATAGACAAGGTCATAGGGAAGAGCTGGAGAAGAAAATCTTCCTGTTCAAAGGCATTGGTTAAAAAAAATCATCATCATAACTACATTGTCTGCTCCCGTAACAGAAAAAAGAATATTTCCTCTTTTATTGTTCTCAACAAAGAGTATTTTTCCATTAAAGACACTTCAGTTTATCACAAGATGATTGCAAACAGGTGCAGGTGAGTTTTCACAAGAAATTAGCAAATGAAGGTTCACATAGTGTTTGGGTTCAGTTAGAGAAAGCACACATTGACACAGAATCAGGAACAGTAAATGGGATTTAGAAGTTGCATGAAATGATCGGCATTGGCTAAGAATAATCTAATTAATGGAGTTGCTTGGCCTCCATGGCTGAGAGAAGTGGATCTGTGCAACAACTGTATACCAGAGAGGCAAGACTTGAACCCAGATCTTCCTGACCCCAAAGCTGACTCTCTACCCACTAGGCCATGATGTCTCTCTTGGCATAAGTACGTTCTGATAATTTTGTGTCTTCACTCAACGGCCAAGAACTGTGTTATTGGGATCTAAGTGGAGTAAATGTCTGCATGTTCTGATGCAAGAGCTTCTTCACAGTGATGACCTCATACAGATCATCTGAATAATTCGTAGGTTTCACATTATAACCTTTACCACTTGAAACCTTTCCAGCATCATTTTATAAAAGCCGGGCTCTTTCCTCTTAAAATGGTTGGCTTGTCCTCATCTGTGGCTGGTGAGCAGCCAGGTTCTAACTAGACAACAATCAAATTAATGTTGTCTTGGGCTGGCTGATGACTCCGGCCAGCCTCTCTGCCCGTATTGGTCATGTCTTCTGAGTCCAAAGATGGCTCCCACGTCATAAATACGGTAAATCTGTCAACATTCCAAACTTTGGCCTTTATTTTTTTAAAATGTTGTGCCTACAACATCACTTCTCTCTCAGTGAACAGCCTGGAGTTCATAAGCCTCCTCAGGCATTTTCCAAGAAACCCACAGCCCCCATTACGGTTTTGTTAGTTTGGAGTTGTCGATTTGGTTTGGTTTGGTTTTCCTTCAGCCACAGAAGGCAAAGACCCAATCAGATCAGGCACAGACTTGTATAAATAGTTAAATAAATGTACAAAACCATTCAGAGGGAGTAGCAGACACGTCAGTGACTTAGCCTACCCAAATCTAATTGCTTTTCAGTGGCCACCCTTCCCATCACCCCTGGGCAGACAGAAATTAGTCAGGGCTATCCCCAGGGTGTATGCAATCCGAAGCCCACATTTCCTTGTAACCAACCTTATCCAAAAAACCAAACTTGCTCTGAGTTATTGAATCAGCATAGTGATGCTGGGCTAGGAGGAGCATAGATAGGGTTGGTCCAAATAGCCTGCCAGAGTCTGCTCCACCATTCTTTTGACCCAAGCAAAGTTAGTGTTGCATGATAGTCTCAACAGTCTTGTCTGTGGGGTCCAGGCACCAAGCTAGAGCAACAAGGTTTAGCTTTAGAATTGTACCAGTAAGGACTTAAGCCACAGTAGGAATCAGGAGAACCAAATTTATTTTCTCAACATTGGAATCAGCTTGGTTGATATGGAGCAGATCTCTGAGTTCTTGATAACAAAAGGTCTGCTGGGCTCAGTCCCCATCAATGACTTTGTAGAAATTCTCTCTAGGGTCTTTTAATTTATTTAAAATACCTCATATTATAGCATCACTCCTTCCATTACAGGGGTCCTTCACCTGGGGTCCATGGATAGCTCTCAAAGGGGTCCATGAATGTTTTTTTAAAAATTTATAATTGTATTTCAATACAACTGTCTTCCTTTATAATTCCACATATTTAATTTTACACATTTAAAAATATGATTCTGCAAAGGGGTTCACAGGCTTCCCCAGACTGCCAAAGAGGTCCATGGGGTCTAAGAACCCATAGACTACAGCTAGGCTTAAGAATGACAACTGAGATGTGGTATGTCACCAAACTACCTCTGCCATTCCTACCCTCTACTTCCACCAGTATGTGGGAAGCCTAAGAAAGCTGTTGTGGCCGTGGACACTAAAGAGAAGTAGTCAAGGGTCTTATCCTGCTCTCCAGAGAGAAAATTGTATATTTGGTAGCCCACAGTGTGAAAACGGAGGCAAATTGATTGTTGTGTTTTTGTGGCCCTGCCTTGCCTAGCTCTGAAGGAAGCACACCCTACAGCCTGTGCTTTCTTTCACCTCAGACAGCTCTCAGACATCTGCTCACTTGGAGTTAACATCATAAGATACAGAATTTGATAAAATAGACATGCTTTTCAACCACCACAGGACTTTGGCTAACAGTTTAAAGCAAGGGGCATATGTACAGAAGGAAGAAGGCTGGAACTACAGCGTGGTTAAGGGTAGGTAACCTTCAAAGCTGTCCCATCTGTAGGGTCCTGTCAACAAGTGGTGAAAAGTAATCCCATCCCAGTGGCTCTGGACCAGATGCCTTAACTTGCCCCTGTTCCCTTAGTTTGTTGTTATATTTGTCCGTTTCAGCTGATGATCATCACCCACCTAAAACTGTGACCCTTTGGGCAGGGACCATTTTAATAATAAATGAGGCATTTAGAAAACAAGCATCAGCCCCTTCCCGGGCAGGCAAGGGAGGGGAGAGGGAATGCCTTGGTCTGAGAGCTTTCCCCATGTTAGCTTTTTGGGAGACAGCAGCTGAGAAGTGGGGAAACAGTGAGGAAGAAAAGTCAGACAGAGGAGAAGTCAACAATGTGCAGCTAGCAGCAAGAAGTAGACTAGGCTGCAGGTAACACACTTGGGAAGCCTTAAAGTGACTTGTAAATAAATGTCAGCTATTTGGGAGACAGGGTCCAACAGCTACCCTGCAGAGCAATGCTGGACCTCCCTAGCCCTCCTTGCACTCGGTCTTCATAGCGCTGACCCAATCTGGGCTCCCTTAAGCCGGTTTCCAGGCGCTGTTGGCAAATTGCTTTCTTTCACTTAGTTCTACACGTGCAGAACGAATCAACTTAATTACCCTAAGTGGCTGCTGAGATAATGCGTACACGGGGAGAACGCCTCCAAGTTTCCCAGAGAAATGAAGGAATCTGGGCATGTAAGAACATCAGCTGATGCCTCCATGGTCACTGGCTGCTGGTTTTCCCCCTCTGCCTTGCATGTTGGCAGATTCCCAGCTTCTGTATGTTTGGAATCCTTCCATGGGGCCATTTAATTACAGTAACCTCAAGCTAGCCAGCAGCAGCTCGGTTCTGAATCATCTATATACATGACACCATCCAGGTGGAGAAGCAGCTGGCCTGCTGAGCTCTGTGCTGGAGGGGCTGTTTCAGATCAATCCATGCACTGACTTAGCACTTCTCAAATGTGTCCAGTTCCCTCTGAGACAATCATATGTGTGCCTCTCGCTCCTTAAGAGCCTTCCCGGGGACACACTGCAAGCACACCGACTAGAAGAAAACATGCCTGTGGCTTCAGTCAGCAGAACATGGGCCAGGGAGGTTCTCCTCTCACCCATCTGTTTTAGTGGCCCAGAAAAGCATTCCATGGGGTGTCAGCCAGCACACCCGCTGGAAAATCATGGCCACACTGCTGACATTCTCCTTGGATTCTACACAAAACAGCATGTGACCAAGCAAAGAAAAGCCAGTTTGTTAAACTTGAAATAGCTACTAAGAAGAGAGAAAGATTCCTTAAAGGTTTTGCTTTCGTTTTGCCTTCCTGAAAATTCGGCAATGTGAAGACTATCCTTCAGGGCTTGACAAGCGCTAGTCTTCTTGGGAAAAGGCTAAGCATGCCCATCATCACTGAAATAAGATAAGAGCTGCTTAACATCCACAGTTAGTCATATAAAGCCAAAGGTCAGGCTAATGAAAAAAACAAAAACTGGCTAAATCTTAGGAGGGCCAAGGGAGTTTCTTTCTGAGACCAAGAGCACAGAGTGTGAGTTAAAATTAGACTGGTTGTTTAGAAAAGGGGGCTGAAATATTCATCTTCTATTTTACTCAAAGAGGAGAGGGGGTTGGTTTTGCTTGGAGTTTGGCCAAGTAGGGAGTTTCTAAGTGAGAGGAGAGAGAGAGAGTGGGCTTACTTCACTTAAAGAACTTAATCTCCGTGTCAACACAGTCATAGAAAAGGTCAGCCACTTCAGTGGGGTCCATGGGGTCTGTGCTGCTCAGAATGCTTTCCATAGCCTCCAGCCCTTGTTTCTCCAGGTCCAGCATGGTCTCCATGAGCTTGTGACCTTGATCCTGAGGAAAGAGACACAGGGTCATGCTGTGTTATAACCAACCACATGGAAAACCTCTCTGTGCAGTTGATCGTCTACCTCGCCATTTTGAATATGGTAGAATTATGGAATGCGAACGGAAGGGGACCTCAGGCATCATCTCATCATGAATAGATAGGGTCAAAGGATTCTAGCTCCAGAGCTGGAAGTGACCTCAGAGGCCCTCATTTAACAAGAGAGAAAACTGAGAGCAGGGACATCAAGCAACAAGGTCCTAGACCTAGCACTGGAAGGAATCTCAGAGGCCGTCAAGCCCAGGCCTCTTATTTTACAGATGAACAAACTGAGGCCCAGAAAAGTTGACTGACTTGTCCAGAGTCACATAGCTACTAAATAAATGAGATAATCTCATAGATGAGGAGACCAGGGCCCAGAGATGATCTCCAGAGATAAAAAGTGATTTGCTGAAAGTCACACTCAGAGTACATGGAAGGGCCTGGACACAAGTTCTGGCTACAAATCCCATTCTCTTTCCACCATGGTAGGACACACACACACACACACACACACACACACACACACACCATTTTACACTAGACCTCAATGATAGAAAACCTGCCCAGTCCTTAACAAAAGAAGTAAATTTTGTATTTGCTAAACCTCAAGGGGCATGGGCAACCTTAATAATGTCCCATATCCTGGGGAAAACTGGATGTCATGGCTTGTTGGTACTAGTTAGCAACAGCTAAGTTGGTTCCCTCCAAGTCCCTTATTTTTGGAGTAAGAAGGCTAGCTTCCCAGCCTCCAATCCCATCCATTCTGTTATTAACAACAGGCAGGGATGGCTAGCCATGCTGTGGGGGTCTCTAGGGGTAGGCTTCCTAGGGAATATTCAAGTCAGAATTTATGCTTGGGAACTCTGTGAAGAACTAAGATGGTGGTGGTGGTGGGGAACAGGTGTATGTATTTGAATTTATTCAAATCGCATAAGATTGGAATTCTTCTCATTAAACTATTCCTGGCAAGTGTGTATTTTCACCTTATGCTTGTAAATAACTTGTCTTTGGTGAAAAGACAGAGATGTGATTTCTAAAAAGAATTTCATCCTCATTGAAGAGGCAGTTTTTGACAAAATAAAGCCACAAAGGGAAGAAGGCTATTCATAGCCAAATGGGATCTCGGGACATTTTATGGGGAGACTTTGTTTCTGGTTTGTTGGAAAAACATAACAGCAACCAAGAATCTGCTGAAGAGGAAAGAAGCAATTCTGGGAAGTTTCTCTGGGAATGTGGATGACTAGGAGCAAACCTCAGCGATCAGGGTCATCTTCCCACACGTGCTCCCCACCCCCACCCCTGCCCCTAGACAAAGGGGAAGGGCCTATGTTTCCCGCCCTCTCCCCTCCCACCTCGAGTCTCACCTCATCACTCTCAATGACAGCCCGAGCCCACTCGTGGGCTTTATAGAGCTCATGTCGGCGGTCAGGCTTCTCCAGAAAACGGGGCTCCTTTTTGGCAGGGTCGTCCTCCCCAAAGCAGGGAGACTGGACTTTAGGGACAAGCTTTACATCATCCACAAAGATGAAAGGCTTGAATATGGACCTAGAAGGAGAGGAGAGGCTCTTTCAGCAAATAAAAATATTTAATACAAAATCATTTGCATTGGCTTTCCTTCAATGACGTCTTGCTGTTAGGTGCTGATGACTGTAACAGGGCAGCTGCAGCCTGGATAGGGGCTTGGAGGTGAAACAGCAGCTGGGCCAGGCACAGGACAAGTAGATTTGGAGGTGCTGCCTCCAAAGGTGGAACATAAAGGTGGAAGGAACTTAGAGCCATCTAGTTCAGTTCGATAATCCCATTGTACAGATAAAGCAACTGAGACCCAGGGAGGTTATTCGTTGTACCCAGTCACACCAATGATAAAAACAGCTGGGTTTCATAGAACACAGCTTTAAAGCTAGCAGAGGGTTTTAGAAATCATCTATTCCAACCACCTCATTTTATACATGCAGAAACTGAGGCCAGAAAGACCCCTGATCACAGGGAAGAACACTGATTTAGAGCTAGAAGAGACCTCAGAGGCTATCCTTTCACTTTACAACTGAGGAAAGACAGCTGGGGGGCAGCATAGTGCACAGAGCTCTGGGCCTGGAATCAGGAAGACCTGAATTCAAATTCGGCTAAACCTTGAACAAAGCCGGGGGGCAGAGAAGAGGAGAGAGACGGAAACAGCCAGGGAAAGTGCTTGGAGTCGGGAAATGGCGTTTGTATTTGAGTACAACAAGGAAGCTGCGTCACCAGACTGGACACGGGCAGGGAGAAGGAGTAAGGTGACTGGAATTCACCTTCTCACCTTCCCTCATCCCCTTCCCCAACCCATCACAGATCGGACCTTACTACAAGGCCAGTTAATGGCAGGAAAAGCACATTTCCGTCCTTGAAAGGTTCACAAGAAGAACATTTTTTCTTTTGGTTGTCACAAACAAATCCTGCCAATAATCCAGTCCATTCGTTCTCTTCCATTGGGGTGGGTGGAGAATGGCACAAGAGTCCACATTCCAAGCTAGAGAAACTGATTCTCCAAAAAGGGATGGGGATTGATGAGTGTCAGCAAGAACTGCTCTTACCCTGTCCCTCCAAAGACTCCAGGAGCCTGTGAGGCACTGAAAGAAGGTGGCAGGCAGAGGTGCAATGCAACAGCCAGAAGCATACAACGGGCAACTCACTCCTGCTGGGCCTGGACCAGCTACTGTTTCACCCTCAAATCCTACACCCCTGGTGTAGCTGCTACACAAGCAGCAGCATCTGTCAGTGCCTAGCAGCAGGAAGTCAGAGACACAGAGAGAGACAGAGATAGAGACACAGAGAGAGACAGAGACAGAAAGACAGAGACAGAGACAGAGACAGAGAGAGAGAGAGAGAGAGAGAGAGAGAGAAAGAGAGAGAGAGAGAGAGAGAGAGAGAGAGAGAGAGAGAGAGAGAGAGAGAGAGAGAGAGAGAGAGAGAGAGAAGGGGGGAGAGAGAGAAAGAAAGAGGAAAGGAGAGGGGGGGAAAGAGAGAAGAGGGGGAGAGAGAGAAGGGGGAAGAGAGAGAAAGGGGAGAAAGAAAGAAAGAGGGAGGGAGGGGGAAGAGAGAGAAGGAGAGAGAGAGAGAGAGAGAGAGAGAGAGAGAGAGAGAGAGAGAGAGAGAGAGAGAGAGAGCCAGGGCAAACCAGTACAGACGTCATATCAATGAACATGAACACTGAAAACATGACAGCTGTCCCAGAAACCCCAGACAGCAGAGGGCTTCATCCAGCACAGGCAGCCCTGAAGCTCCATTGTTCCAGGGTCCTGCCTTGGGCAGAATCCACTGAGGGGATCTCCTCCCTCGCTTCCTCCATGTCATATAGAGTCTGTCCTGCAGAAAGCCTGCAAGCCCTTGGTGACCCTCAGCATACTACCCTCTGAGCTGGTGAAGAGAAACAATATAAATAAAGAACATAAAAGGGGAAGGGGGAAGGGAAGAAGGATTTAAGTACCTACTATGTACCAGACACTGCATTAAAGTGCTTAATAGCTATCTCATTTTATCCTTACAACAAACCTGAGAGGAAGGTGCCATTACTAGCACCCATTTTACAGTTGAGGAAACTGAGGCAGACAGAGGTTAGGTGACTTGCCCAAAGTTACATAGCTAATAAATGTCTGAGCTGGATTTGAACTCAGGTCTTCCTGACTCAAGGCCCAAAGCTCTATGCACTATAGCGCTCCCTAGCATCTTTTCTTGGCTGTAAAGGGAGGGGGTTGGATGATAATCTCGCTGGGCCTCAGTTTCCTCATCTGTAAAATGATCTTGTAAATAGATTCTGAGAGGCACCTAACTCTCAGCAGAGGCATCCTAGGGGGGATTAGAAATGGAGGTGCTGGCTGCCAGCCTCACACAAATGCTGGGCTGGTTAGTGATGACACCTAGGAAGCTCTTCATGGATGATTATTAAAACAGAAGAGGTTGTTAAAAGCACCACATTTGACCAGGCACTGAGGCCCCCAGGACCCTTGGCTCACAGGAGGTTTGAGGGCATCCGGGTCCCACAGCCTAAGACCCACACAACAACGGCACCAGCCAGCCTGGTTTTACCTCCTAAGTTTCTGGAGCTGGTTCCTGACCTGATCTCTTTCAACTTCCAGTTGCCCTTACAGCCAGTTCCAAGAAATGGCATTCAGTGCTTTTGGAATCCCGTGACAGATCAATCACCACTAGCCCTGACACCAATGGAGAAAAGCCTCTTGTTTTCCCCGAATTCGTTTTCTTTGGGTTATCGGAGAGGCAGCATAAGACCAACACTCCCTGATCGTTTCTATCACACTTTAAGGTCGGTGAAGGGTATATACGTACATCCGATCTGTGCAGCAAACATGAGAGATGATTGGGACAGGTGTTCTTATGTGCACCGAGGTAAGGCTCAGATTGAGTAAAGCAGGCTTAAGGCCAAGCATAAGGTTACAGATTTAAAGGTGGAAAGGAACCTGTCATTTTACAGATGAGGAAACTGAGTCACAGAGAAGGGAAAGTTGCACATCTAAAAGGCAATAAAGCCAGAATTTTCTTCCATACATTCTGACTTTGAACCTACTATCCCTTTCATATGCTGATGTGCCATCCCTTGCCCCCAAAGAAGAAAAAAGAACATCTTTGGGGTCAGGAGACAAACAAGCTAGTTTGGCTGGAGGAGTGCTATGGGAAAAGACCGCAAAGGTATCCAAGAGCATAGAGCCTTGAATGCCTAGCTAAGGAGCCAACACTAACCACTATAGACTAGCCCAAGGTCTAAATTTTGTGACAGATGGATCAATGAATACATTTCCAAGAATTGCAGGGAAAACGGGGCTGGATTATTTCAAATTCTACTACTTACGTGATCTTGGACAAGGGAGCTGAGCTTTGTAAGCCCCAGTTGGCTTACCTCTAAAATGAAGGGGTTGGACCACAGGACCTCAGTGGCTCCTTCTAGCTTTAAGATTGTGATTTAATGTAAAAGTATCAACTGTTTTTAATCACTAATCTTTATCATTTTGAGAAGACCATGTGATAAATGGTAAGGAAATGATGAATCAATAGCTAGAACCTGCCTTGGATACTTCCTGAAAGGCCCTTTCCCCTCCGCCATTAAGGTCTAGTAAGAGAGTGTTAGAGATGGCCATGGGTGCCATGAATTCACTAGTCCAGGGCAGTCCCTCTCCTAGTGCAAGTCAGCACCTTCTTTCCAGCCTGTATTTTTAAAGAGCTGCCCAGAGCACTGAGGGGTTAAGTGATTTGTCCAGAGACACAGCAGGGATGTGTCAAAGGCAGGATCCAAATCCAAGTTTTCCTGGCTTTAAAGCCAGTTCTGTGTATACACTGCCTCACTTTACATTCATGCCTATTGCTCCTGGCTCTGCCCCCTGAGGGCAAACAGGACAAATCTATCCTCTCCTTTAAAGCCCTTCAAATCACTGAAGATAGCTGGCATGTCCATGCTCTGCTCCCCAAGTCTTCTCCACAAACACCTTCAGTTCTTCTAACTGGTTCTCATACAGAGTGAATTCAAGGCCAGTTTGGCTGCCTTCCCTGGAAGCTTTCTGGCTAATAATAACAATGATGACAATGATGATGATGATGGCATTTATACAAATATCCCTTTAAAGTTTACAAAGCACTTTCTATCATTTAATATTGGCAACTCTGGAAGATGGATGCTATTATAATCCCCATTTTATAGATGATAAAACTGAGCCTGAGGTAGGTTGAGTGACTTGCCCATCATCATATATATCATACTCAAATTCAGTTCTTCTTGACTCCAATTTTAGCACTCTTTGCACTGTGACACCTAAATGTCTTAGCTTATCAAAGTTTTTCTTAAAATGAGGTGCACAAATCTGAACAGAAATCTTGAGGTGTGGTCAGACCAGTGCAGAATGCAGAGCGATGAAGCCACCCTCATCCCTTGGGAGGTTATGACTTTTATGACAGTCTGAGGTCAGACTGTCCAGGGGGGAGTTAACAAGTGCTTGAACTACGATGGCAGAAGGAGAAGGGGCAGTTTTGGGGGGGGGGTTTAGGTGAGGCAATTGGGGTTAAGTGACTTGCCCAGAGTCACACAGCTAGTGAGTATTATGTGTCTGAGGCTGCATTTGAACTCAGGTCCTCCTGACTCCAGGGCTGGTGCTCTATCCACTGCACCACCTAGCAGGACAGTTTTAAGAGCTATTTTAAAGAAAGACTCAAAGGACTGAATGTGGTGTGGTGGTAAAGAGAGTATTTGATTTTGAATCAGATTTGGTTGAACAGTTGCCTCTGCCACAATATGGCTTTGGACAAGTCAGCTGACCTCTCTGAGCCTCAGTTTCCTCACCTGTCAAATGAGAGGGTCAGACTAGACAGGTTCTAAGATCTCTGCCAGTTCTAAACTCCTATGCTCCTCCATGCCAGATGAGTCCTACTGAATGTGAATATACCTGATACAAGATGTCAGGACCAGACTGGAAAGCAGCAAACCTCAGCCATGCCCAACATCCCCAGTTAGGTCCAACCTATTCAAGGCCCAGTTTAGTCTGGCCCCTATAGTTCAGCTCTTTGAGAAGGAAAGGGGACAAAGGATAAAGGAAGAGATGGGCACATGACTGCTGCCTACCACTGGGGCAAAGTAGGTCAGAGTCGCTCACATGATTCCTTACTCCTCATCCCACCCCACTCCTTGTCAGTACAGTACACTCAGTGTTCCAGTGTGCACAGGATTCCCCATTAGGGGGGACCTCAGGATGCTGAAGGTGTCAGACTTTTTCCAATCTAATTCTTTACTTTCATAAAGATGTCATCATGTACTTGTTTCTCATTGGAAATTCTATCAAAGACAGGATACTGGGCCAATTACAGTAATAATGTATGTCATCGACACTATCATTTTATTATTTTTTTGCTATTGTTACAAAAACAACTACGTGGGTGTTTTAAGTTACCTGATGGCTTACCAAGCTGCAAGTTCAACTATTGAGATTTTCATCCAAACTGATTAAATGTTATAGTTCTCCCCATTCATTCTTGTTCCCCTCCCCCACTTCCCCCAAACCTCTAAATGTATAAATGAGGGAAGCATGTTCAACAAAAAGCTTTTATAAGAAATGAATGGAATAAACAAGCAAGGAAACAAAAAAGACACAGAAGACCAGTCATCTGGAACAGGAGAGGACAGAGTAATAATGTCATGATGTCATTCGGGGGTCTCATGATCTAACTGGGGAGGGTTAATTAAGACAACACACTCTTCACCAATGTGTTTTCTAAGTATGCTGGTCTGGCACTATGCCCAGAAAACTTCATTTTTTATTGGAAGTAGAAATGGAATGGATAGGCAAACTCAGAGAGTCAGCATGGTACAGTGGATAGAGGCTGGCCTTGTGAATCAGAAACACTTGGGTTCAAGACTCCCTCTGACCCAAATTAGCTGTATGACCCTGCGCAAGTCCCTCAGAAGCCCAGATGACCCTCCAGCGAAGGTGCTGACTGGCACTGATGGAGGGAGCTTCCTGACCTTCACCAAGGCAAACCGATGGAACTAGAGCCCTATACTGATGAAATCACAGTCTGGACTACAATATGTATGTTTATAATATGTGCAAACATCTTCAGTGTAAATTCACACTCTTTAGAGTTTCCGAAGAGTTTATTCACCACAACTCAGTGAGGTTAGAGATGAGGGAACCAAAGCTTAGATAGGTTAAATGATTTGTCCACAGTTGATAGCAAGTCAAGCTGGGACTCCAACTCCAGAGTAATTTCCCCTACACCACTCTGCCTTTCATCATAGAGTCACAGGATGTTAGCGCTGGGAGAGACTTTCAAGGCCATCTAGTCCAAGCCCCTCATTTTACAGCTGCTTCTGAGGTCTTCCAACTCATCAACCAGCCCAAGGTCACATACCTCACACCAGGCAGAACCAGGATTAGAACCCACGTCTGTTGCTTCCTAGTCAAGCAATATTTCTGCAATGCTGCCTCAGGTTTCCCCATGACAAAATATGAAATGTTAACATGTGCAATTACTAAAAAATACAGGACCCCAAATTTGTGATCCTTCTCCCATTACTATAGATAATGTGTCTCATTTATCAGTCAAGAATGGATCTCTTTCAGCCAGAGTTCTAATGTTCTGCTAAGTCTTTGCAGGTCACTTAATCATGGAAAACCTTATTTTAAAATCACTTGAAAATCTAAAGCACTTTTTTCACCTCAAAAAATTACAAAGAGGGTATTTCCAATTCATTTCTATAATTTTATTAGGCCATCCACTTTCCCCAAGACAAATGATCCCTTTCTATTTTGGCTGCCGAGAAATGAAGACGTCCACATCTAACTCCTTGGCACATCTATAATCACTGAATTGCAGATTTTTTTAACTAAAAGGAACCTAAGATTTTGTCTAATCCAATCCTTTCATTTTATACATGAGGAAACTGAGTCCCAGAGAGATGAAGTCACTTTCCCAAGGACACAGAGCACAGAGTTTGTCTGATCACAGCCCTAACTAGAAACTTTTGTACCTGGGGTAGTACAAACCATGCCCAAGGCAAGCAGCAAGTAAAACTTTCAAAACCTGAAAAGGGGAGGAGCTGACCTACAGGGCAGCTGCTGGGAAGAAGAAGCGGAGCAGCAGGCAGCTTCTTGTTTTAACTAATTCTTCTTGCTAGCTAAGTATTAAACTCTGATGTTCCTACCCTTCAGAAAGGTAGGAAGTACTTTCAAAGTCCTTGAAATTTGGCACCGCATGGTAAAGGCCCAACTGCCCTGTCCTAGTTACAACTGCTTCTATTCCCCAGCCAAAAGTTTTTTTTACAATGGGTTATGCTTCTCCCCAGCTGCCTGATTTCAAATGTATACCAACTTAGGTCTACTTTGAGACAAGGGAATCTCCTTTATTTTTTAAAGGAGGCTACCAAAAACATTTTACCTTTTTCATTCAAAGAAGACTTTGTGCACCTGTGTGCCTGGCTGGGATAAAAAGAAGGCAAAAGATTGAGGCAGTATGATGTTCCAAAACTAGCCCTAGATTTGGGGTCAGCTGGATCTCGGTTCAGATCCTGGTTCACAGAATTTAAAACTGGAGAGGATTTTAGCAGTTCCCCATTCATGGGATCACAGATGCAAAGCCAGAGAGGACATCAGTGGCCGCATAGTCCAAACTCCATTTTACAGAAAGGGAAATTGAGACCCAGAAGTAATTTGCCCAAGGTAATACAGAGAATAAGTATCAGAGCTGAGATTCGAACCCAGGCCCTCTGAAGGCTCTACATACAGAATTCAATCCACTCCCCCAAAATGCATCCCACAATCTCCTTTTGCATACACAAAGCTTGAGGCCCAGGATTTGAATCTAGCCCAGTGCTACTCCCATTGTACCACCTCTATTCGTAGACTACAAATCCTTGATTAAATTTCAAGCAATCACAGAGCCATAGAATCACAGAATTCAAGAGTTAGACAGGACCTCCACAGACATGTAGTCCAACTCACACTCAAAGGTTTTCCGAAGAGTTTATTCCTCATGATAACAAAACTAAGAGAAGTTAGGGGCTTTGTCCGATCTGCAACTTGAAGTGGACAAGCCAATCAACCAGCATTTATCAATCACCCACTAATACCAGGCACTGTACTAGGCACTGGGACACAAAGACAAAAAATGAAATCATCCCTGCCCTCAGGGAGCTTACATTCTATCACTGAGAAGTTAGCTATTTGCTTCCCTGGGTCAAATTCCTCTCTCTCATCATCACCTTAATTGCTGAGGTCTGATCTATTGTTCAATTTGTCCAGGTATCCCCAGAGTAAACATTTAATGTTTGTTGAATTGAATTGAATTAGACTGAAGGGAGTGTTCTATACTCATCAATAAAAATGAGTCCTGAAAGTAATGACTGAGACACTGTTGGAATGAATGGATTTGCTTGATTAAAATAAAGATGAAGAAGAGAAAGTGAAGAATTAAAGGGTCTTCAGATGGGAACAGCAACATGCTTGCTCACCTCTCTGAGTCACAGCTACCTTACCTATAAGGTGAAGGAGCTGTCCAAGGTCCTTTCTGGTCCTAAGATGCTCTGAAGTCAATTCCATGGAAAAGTCTTGGAGGTGGAGCCAGGAGACCCCAAAGATCAAATCCTGCCTCCAGCACTCACCAGCTGTGTGATCATGGTTAAGCTACTTAAATTCTCTGAGCCCCATTCCTTTATCTAAAAAAGAATGTGCTAGATAGGTTGGGGTCAGAGTTATAACTTTAGGCAGAAATCACAACTGGCAAAGTCAAGGCTAGAACCCAGGTTTCCTGACTCCCTAGTCCAATTTTCTTTTCCTTACTCTGCTGCCTCCAACTTCATGCCTTTGTCCCAAGATCTTCGAGGAACAGCATGGTAGATTCGGAGTCAGAGAGACCTGAAATCAAATACTCCCTCAGATATTTGTGAGTCATGTTATCCTGGGCAAGTTAACTGCTCTTCATTTCCTCACTGGTAAAAAGGGAGTAATAATAGCACCTACCTAACAGGGCTATATAAATGTAAGCTATAGTGCAGGCAATATTAATGGAAGGCACAATTTCAGGTGACCTGGGATTAATTCCTAACTCTAACACTAGCTGTGTGACCCTAGGTAAATCACTTACTCTCTCTGTGCTTTAGTTTTTTCATCTATAAGATGAATATAATAATATTTCTCTCTCTAGCTCAAAATCCACAATCCTATAATCACATCACAGGATTTCCGGGAGGAAGGCATTTTGTTAAGGTGTTATTGTTCTAAAACAAATATTCAATGAAGTACCAGAGAAGATCCAAGTTTACTACTCTGCACCACCTCAGTTGCAAGCACTGGACTGAGAGGTCAGAAAACGTAGGATCCAGCCCTGTCACTCCCATTAAGGAGCTAGGTGATCTTGAGAAGTCACCTAACTTGTCTGCGCCTCATTTTCTTCAGCTGTAAAATGAGGGGGTTAAGAAAGAGGACTAAAGTCAATAGATATTTAATCAGTCAAAGAATCAAACTTGTTTCAGCAACAGAAGACAATCTTTGAAGGCATAACCATCAACCTGTAGCTCATGGCTACCCAAGGCACCTTGGCAGGCTCACCTGGAGGGATCTGGGGTCCCAGTGAAGTAGTGGATGCATGGTGAACTCCCTCCCTGGGGCAGGACAGACACGATGCTGGCAGTAGTGAGGAAAGAGTCAGAATCTACACAGACTCCACTGGCTTTATCCCGCAAAATGTTCATCATGGTCTGCACAGTGATGCTCTCTGTCAAGAGAGAAAGAAGAGAAAGGGAGGGAAGGAAGGAAGGAAAGAGCAAAGAGGGAGGGAGAGAGGAAGGAAGCAAGGAAGGAGGGAGGGAGAAAGAATAAGAAATAGATGAATACATCTCCAGCGGAAGGCACATCAACTATTGCTTGTCTATACTATACCCACAAAAACATACACAGTAAGGTCAATATCTGACAAGTGGTCTGCATGAACACAGGACCCTAGACTGTGTGGCAGTGAGGCTGGCTGTCTGCTATCTAATCAGACAATCAACATGCACTGATTAAGTGACTCCTCTGGGCCAGGTACAGGGAATATTAAGACAGAAATGAAATGGTCCCTGCCCTCAGGGTGGTTATATTCTATAAGGGAAGACAATATATACCAAGGACTCTTCACCTGGATCCACGAACTTATATTTTTAATATTTTAATAGCTGTATTTCAATATAATTAGTTGCCTTTATACTCCTATGAATTCAATTTCAAGCATCTAAAAACATGATTCTGAGAAGGGATCCATAAACTTCAACAGATTGCCAAAGGGAGGGTCCATGACACCACAAAAGGCTAAGAAACCCCGACATACACATGTGTAAATATATAAACATATAAATAAAGTTGCTTTTTTCCAGAGGGAATTGGTGCTAGCATTTGGGAGAAATAAGGAAAGAGCTTATATAGGAGATAGCACTGGAGGAAGCTTTGAAGGAAACCTGGGACTGGGAGTGAAAATGAGGAGGGAATCATTCCAGGTTTGAGGGGGTAGCAAGTGCAAGAGGCAGGAGGTGAAGGGTCACGTGAGAGGAATAGAAAGGACACCTGGCTGGACCATGGAATGTGAGAAGGAAAGTAATAATAACAAATAAATCAGTAATAGACAATAAATGCAGCCTGGAAAGGTGGGTTGGAACTAGCTTGTGAAGGGCTTTAAATGTCAAACAGACAAGTTTATATCTGATCCTTAGAAGTGATAGGGAGCCACTGGAGATTATTGATCAGGGGAGTTACATGGTTAGAGGTCCAAGGGACAGCATGGCCAAGTTCAGAGAACTCTTTACCAAGTTGGCCAAAGGGAATGAATTTCCAGCTATAACATTCTCAATGGCTGGCTACCAAGTGGGAGAGGGATTGTGATCTGTGTTAAAAGAAGAAGGACCCAGAGCAGAGAGTCCTAACTTTTTGTGTGTCCTGGACCCCTTTGGTAGTCTGCATGGACCTCTTTTCAGACTAATGCATTTAAATAATTGAAGGAAATGTTAAATTTCAATTAGAAGTTAGTGAAAATACAACAAGACTCATGTGGAAATATTTTTAACATGATTGCATATGTATAACCTGTATCAGATTTCTTGCTGTCTCAGGAGGAGGGAGGGGAGGGAGAGAGAAAAAAATTTGAAACTCAAAATCTTATTAAAATGCATGTTGAAAACTATCTTTACATGTAATTGGAAAAAAATAAAATGTTATTAAGTGAGAAAAAGAAATTAGTGAAAATAAAGATGTCATTTTTTTCCCACTCAAGTTCATAGACCCCTTGAAATCTGTCCTCAGATGTGTGGGCCCCAGGTTAAAAGCCCCTCCCCTACAGCAATGAGACCATGGATCCTGGAGCATGAGAACACCCAACGCTGGAAACACAAGAAATCTTGTTAATAGCAATAGCTTGTTGACATTTCTGTGGTGCTTCAGAGAGCTTTCCCTGCCTTGGCTTATTATCAAACCCATTTAAAAGCTAGAGGAACTGAGGCTTGAAGAGGCAAAGTCACTTGTTTAGGGTCATGAATTTGAGGTGGGATTCAAACCAAGGTCTCCTGACCCCAAGTGCAGCCTTCTTTCTGCTTGGCCTCTCAGTATAAGGTTGAGAAACATTGGCTGTGGAGTCCCAAGGCTGTTAACACAACAGGCAGACTCAATGAAATTTCCCAGGAGCAGAGATTTAGAGCTGGAAGGCACTTTAGAGCCCAATCTCCTTTTTTTTACAGATGAAGAAATAGAGCCTGATTTGACCAAGGTCATACAGGTAGAATGAGGAAGAGAAATGGGATTTGAACCCAGGTCCTCTGCCTCCTGAGTCAGGGCTCCTTCTAACTTGATTTCCTCATTTTCATCATAATTCTCCCTCATAGGAAACAGTGGAAAAGTGAAGGCTTCCAGTCAGGTGACCTGAGTTCACACTGGAGTTCTCACTCGTCACCTAATCATTCCTAGCTTCAGTTCCTTCATTTATAAAATTAGGAAGGAGAGAGTTAAATTAGATCATCTCCAATGTCATTTTGAACTTGAAATCCTGGGACACATAGGCTCTGAATGACTAGGTCAGCAGTTTGGAGGATAATAGAGAGTGGAAGAGTTTGACAGTAGAAGTGTAGACAGAAGCACAATTCATGGTTTCCTCCATGTCAGCTTCAGCAAGGAGTTCTATACTTAATGTCCATTCTGCCTGCTCCCTTTTATTCATTTAGCCAGTCAAGCATTTATTAAGCACTTATTAGCACTGTCAGGTATTGTGCTAAGTTCTGGGGATACAAAGAAAGGCAAAAACATTGTCCCCTCCTCAAAGTGCTCACTGTGTAAATACAAGTGTATGCAATGTAAATGAAAGATGATGTTGAAGGAAAGAGAAAAGTCTGGGGAGGGAAGACTGGGGAAAGGTCCAGCGAAGAAAGTGGGATTCAAGCTGAGTCTTAAAGGAAACCAGGGAAGTGAGTGAGGCTTACTTACTGGTATATTGCCCAACAAATGAGAAAGAGATGCTTAAAGGGTGCCTTTACTTACCCTCTTGTTTTTCTAGGCTGTCTTTGCCTGAACAGCAGCCCAGGTGGTCATCTGCTTGAGAAAACACTTCTGAGAAATTGAACTCTTGGTCAGTAGTCCACCAGCCTTGACCTTCAGCATAACTCCTGAGCTCGGGGTGCTCTGCATCGATCTTGGATGTGATGGAAAGCTGGTTACAAATGCACTTCACTCCCTCTACAGGAAGAGTGAAACTTGCATTAGTTCAAAATATACCTTGGAGGAAGCCATTAGAACCTGAGAACTCCCATTGCCCTCCCATGTTGGTGCTTAATGATGGGAAGAAAGTAAAACTAGAATGTGTTAAATTGGGTGGATATGAAAACAGACACCATCTTGTCCTATTTCTGGGTAAACTACATTAACCAACACAACCGGAAAACTACCCAACCCTGACCAGAGTGTGATGGAGTGAATAGATAATGCTTAACTGAGCTTAAATTTGCAATTAAAGAAAAATATGTGAGGCCCCTCCACCATCTGGCTGAAGGACAGCTAGGCATTTATTACCCTAAAAAGGTAGAAAATCCCTTCCAAGAGAGATGCTTGGCTATCACTGGCATTTAGGATGGTAAAATTTAAGGAAGCCACTTGTGGGCTTTTGTTACACACCCACCCACACACACACACACACACACACACACACACACACACACGCATACACATACACGAGAAAGAAACTCAGACCTGGAAAGGTGATGATAAAGATCAGAGGATTGATGAGGAACCCATGAGGAAACTGAGGCCTGGAAGGCTAAGTGATTTATTTGCCCAATGTCACACAGGCTCTAATCTTTAGAGGTGGGCTATGAACCTAGGTCATAAGGTGCTACATCTAGAGCTAAAAGACACCTCTAAGGCCATCTTGTCCAGGCCAGCTGTCTCACTTTACTGAGGAGGAAACTGAGGCACAGAAGACTTAAAGGATTTGCTCGTGATCACAGTGCTACTAAATAGCAGTGGTGGGGTTTGCACTGAGTAAATGTTGATGTTGAGTCCTACAGCTTACCTCCTTTGCCATGCCATGACTCATCAGGATTAATAATAGTAGCTCATTTTAAAAGCTGCTCGTAAATCATGGTGTATATGCTCCACACAGTACCCTGTGATGTAGTATCTGAAAGTCCCTTCCCTAAGAAACATAAATGAAGTCCAGCAAAATCAGCATCAAAATGTGCCCAGACCCTGAGTTTCCTGTCCTGTGTATGACTGGACAGAGGTCTTGTAACATCCACAAAGCAGAGAAAACAGGCTTGTTGAGCCCATCTCTGGACCTCAGAATTCAACATACCCATGAGCTGAGTTAGGCTTGGGTCTACAACACACTCTCCAGGGTCAAAATATGGAAAAGGCTGCCTGTGAGAGGCGATTGTTAGCTAGAAACTGTGGTTGGAGTAGGGGGTGGTCCTATTTGCTGCCCACAAAGAGCAGTAGATGAGGAAAAACCTAGAATCATAGGCCACAATCAGTTTATTGCCCGAAAATGGAACTGAAGGCTGGAACCAGGGCCGCTGCATATATGTAGTCTTTTCCTCTGTTGTGTTTCCCTGTTCTCACTTCCCAAATGAAGACAACTGGCTGCTCACAAGAGCTGGCCTCTCTTTGCCTTTTAGCATCACAGAGGAAAGTAGAAAATAGAAATTTTTTTTAAAAAGTGAACTCTCTGTCCTGCACCGGTGATTTCCATACAATTCATGCCAAGCTGCTGAGAAAGCCCCAACTCATGAGCAGGCACTGAGATTTTTCTTTCTTAACTGAGCTGATTCAAAAAGGCTATTTCTTCGTGTATGCTTAGCGGCTGCCGGACTTGAATCTGTACTCAGACTTCCCGCAATCAGCCAGTAAAAGCAGCAGCTGCACAATTTTTAAAATGTCGGTGTTTTTTGAAATTAAAAGTAGATCTATGGAGGAGGGAGGGAGATGGGCTTTTATTGAATTCCATTGAAAATAAACTTCTGGAATAGAGACACCCATCATAGAGTTCTGCATAAATACCATGTAATTACAGTGCAGAGCTGACATCCCCATCCCCATCTGGCCTTGGCTCTGGTAAGATCTTTTGGCAAAGAAGTTTTTAGGAATTATATCACACTAAGCTTTAAACCACTCGGCAGTCTTTCTCCAAGGCCCAGCAGAGGAGTTACCTCCTCCAGGAAGTCTTTCTTGATTCTATTACTTGTTAGTTCTCTATCCCTCCCCTAATTGTTATTAAGTATATACTATATGCTATGTCTATATGGACAACAGGCAGCTAGGTGGTGCAGTGGATAGAGCACCAGGCCTGGAGTCAGGAAGACTCATTTTTTGTAAGTTCAAATCCAGCCTCAGACACTTACTAGCTGTGTGACCCTGGGCAAATCACTTAACCTTGTTTGCCTCAGTTTCCTCATCTGTAAAGTGAGCTGGAGAAGGAAATGACCAAGCCATTTCAGTATCTCTGCCAAGAAAACCCCAAATGGAGTTGTGAAGAGTCAGACACAACCAAGCAACAACAATATATACTTATCTGATTACACAACACACAGGTACAGAGGAAAATGCAAGTTTTGTCTTTGCATCCCCAGTGCTTGGAGGTGAAGAGGAGGACAGAGCCAGAGCACCTGGGTTCAGATCCCACTTTGGATGCTTCCTATCACTGGTAACTCTGGGCATGGCCCTTAACTTTCCTGGGACTCAGTTTCCTCATATGTAAAATGACTAGATGAGCCTCTTCCAGCTCTAGGGCTATGGTGCTATGACTTTATGACATATTAGTTACTTAATAAACACTCATTAGAAAGTAGATCTCCATCAAATGAGGGAAAGGTCAAACGAGCTGTGACACAAGAATAGTGGAATAGTATATTCCATGCTGTAAGAAATGACAAATATGGTGACTACAGAGAAGCAAAGGAAGATGTAGAAACTGATGCCAAGTGAAGTCTGCAGAACCAAGAAATTGATATACGCAATGACTACGACGACATAAATTTAAAAATCAACAACCGAACAATAGAACAGAGTGCTGTGAGATCACAATGACCAAGCTTGGCCCCAGAGTGACAGGAGGAGAGACCTGCCTGTGCTGTTCTGTGGATGAGGGAATCCACGGGCATGTGACATGGCAGATAATGCCAGACTTTTTCTGTCAGCTAGTTTTGTTGAACTGGTTTTTTTCCCACTCTTTTTTATTCTTAAAGGGGTTGGCTCTCTGGGGAGGGCAGGGTTACGTTAGGAAATGTGGGCGGCATGAAAACAAAAAATATCAGTAAAACTTCATTTAACAATAAAAATAAATGCTTGATGGATTGAGGCAGATTAGAATGGCATTAGGTTCAGTAGATTTTATGTTTTATTGGAATTCTTTTTTCTAATACTCCAATAACTCTGGTTCCCAAAGAACACTCTCTTATATTGAACCAATTTTTTAAAAAGTCTCAAGATCAGCACATCTGTTGGTGGGTATAATCTGGAATGAGCCAGGCTTCCATTCCAGAGTCTCTGAGGGCCCTGGGCACCGGTGGTGTTGAGGGTAAAGGCTTTGAACTAGCAGCCTATGAATGAACTTAATGGCCTGTTTGCAGTTCTAGATTGGTCCTGGAGATGTGGAGAATTGAAATATAAAATATTAGGTACCAAATACCCCTTGGGGAGATTTTGTAGGGGTTTCACCAAATCTGTTTTTTCCAGCTCTCTGGAACTCTGTAGAGCGTCTCTGTCCCCAGCTGGGATCAAGCACTGTCCAGACAGAAGAACCACAGGGTAGGAATTGATTTCGCCAGATACATCCTCTTACTTTTTTCTATTGAAGCAAAACAGTAGAGAAGCGAGAGTTCTGCTTTCCCACAAATTTGCTAAATCTGAACGAAGTCAAACTGTGCCCTGTGATATCACAGATCACCAAGTAGAATCAAAAGGCCCCAGACTGCAACATTGCAGAATTGCAGGGGTACCACCCCTCCAAAGCTGGTTCATCTGCTTGGATGACGCGATGATGATGTCACTACCTAGGGGAAGAGACTGGGGGAGGGGTGAAATCCAAAGGCCAGGACACTTACATGGAAAAAACCCGTTTTATCTCCTACGAAACAAGCCTCCTGCACCTTGGCTCTGAGTACATCATGACTATGAGGAAGCAGAGACCTGGGCAAGGGGCAGAGCTAAGCAGAAGAGGGTGCATGCACAGAGAGGAAGCAAAGTCTCCCAGGTATCAGGAGGCCGCCAGCCACACCACCTCCTTCCTCATCCTCATCAGCTCCCATCACCCAAGCTCACCAACCTGTGATTTTTTCAGCTGCCCAGTGTTTCCCTATGGTCTCTAACACCCAGGCTTCTTCTCGATCCACAATCAGGTATGCGCTTTGGAAAGTGTGGCACAAGTTCCCATCTTCGTAGTAATTTCCACCTTGCCCGTGCTCTTCCAGCAGGGAAACAATGACGTCAAAGGCCTCTTTGGCGGTGGCACCTCTTTCTAGACCCAGCCTGTAACAGAAAGAAAAAGTAGAACCCCAGTCTTTTTAATACGCTTTGAGATCATTGTAACAATCAGAACCTGTTTAAACACCAATAATAATGACTAATATTATTAACCGTTAATAACTAACAACTACTAATAAATAGTAACAGCTAGCACTTTCAGGTTTATAAAGTACTTATACATGAATTCTCCCATCTGATCCTGGCACCTACCTTGTGAGGTAATTGTTTTATTATCCTCATTTTACAGAGGAGGAAATTGAGGCAAACAAAAGTCAAAGTAACTTGTCCCCAAGTCACAACTAGCAAGTATCTGAGGTAGGATTTGAACTCAGGTCTTCCTGACTTCCCAGTCAGCTCCCCATCCACTCTGCCCCACTGTCACTCACCTGGCACATAGTAAGGGATTAATAAATGCTTGTTAATTGACTGACTATAGCACTAGATGTGGCATCTGGAAGACCTAGGTCCAAATCCCACCCCTGACCCTCACTAAACTGTGTGACCCAGACCACTGAGGCATCACTGAACCCTCTGAGCCTCAGTGTTCTCATCTTTAAAATGGGGATGATGACACTTGAAGTGCCTGTCTCACAAGATTGTTGGGGCTCAAATGCATATAAAATACTTTGCAAGTTTTACAGTGGCATATATGTATACATACATGTATATATATATATATGTTATTAATATTAAAATAAAAGAACTATGCTTTCGCTGAAAGAGTATTTTCTTTTACTGGACTATTCCAGATGCTAAAAAGAACATGACATTTATTCCCATAACAGGCTTATTTTCATGGTCAGATAATTGTTCACTGGTGTGTTTGACACTTTTCTATTTAAGCTTGCTTAAGAAGACTTAGTTTCACAGCAATGATTGGGAAGGTGGATCATAAAACCAGGAGAGAACAACATAAGAATAAGCTCATTACAAAACTGACTCAAGGAGACCATCCTGTTAATAAATGTCTCCTTTTCTAAGCAGGGGATTGGGGAAGGGAATCTATTTCTTATATTAAAGAGTCAGGAATTATGGAAGGTCTGTCATAAGGAAAAGGGATTAGCTTGGATCTGCCCGGCCCCCAAGGGCAGGACTCTGCCGTCAGACAGCTGTTGGCCAAGCATGCCTCCCACCCCTTGGCAGAAGTGATGGACTAGGGGAGCAGAAAGAGAGGTAACGTTTCTGGACGTGGCCCCTGCCTTGATTTGCGTTGTTTGGTTATATTGTTTACAAGGTAGGGCTTTGGCTTGTGGGAGGAGGAGAGCTGATGAATAATGAAAGCAATGGGGAAAAAAAAGAACAAAGAAAAGAGTTTCAATGAAACATTTAAAAAATACACAGACGTTCGGAAGGAGGCCCAACAAGCAGGCAGTTTGGACCCTACTGGCTTAAATTTAATTTACACATAATAAAAAAATAAAGCTGCATGAGGGAAGTTCCCTCTACCACCCCAGCTGCCTTCCTCTTTCAGATCATTCCAAATTAACAGCTCTTCTAGAAGGTGATGCTCAGGAGATGTGACTTTATCCACCAAATGACCAAATCTGTGGTAAAGTGAGGCACCTTATTATAGCTCCAGACATGTTGATTTGGGACCAGAGATCACACCAACATGTGCGTTGATGAAGCCTCTGATGGCTGCCCTTTTCTTGATGGAGGAGTTCCATCTCCAGTGCTTCTAATTCCTCACTCATCCTAGCCTGCAACCCCTCCACTGGAATGATTAGCAGAGGACAGAAGTCAATGTAAGTGGCTTGAGATTACATTCTTATCCTGTGAACCATCCCCAGTTCTGGCTGGCCCCCAAAACTCTTTTCAACTACAGCATATCAACATTAATCTTCTTGTAAAGGACCTGTATGTATAAAAATATTTAGAGCAGCTCTTTTTTTGTAGCAGCAAAGAACTGAAAACTACAGATGTGCTCGACAATTTGGGAATAACTAAACAAATTATGGTGTATGAATATGACAGAATAACATTACACAAGAAGCAACCTATGGAATGACAAAGTGGATAGTATCAGAGAGACCTGGGAAAATCTGTATGAACTGATGAAGAGGGAACTGAGCAGAACCAGGAGAACAATTATACAATAAAAACAGTATTGTAAAGACAAACAACTTTGAAGGACTTAAGAACTCTGCTCAATGCAAAAAAACAACCACAATTCCAAAGGACCAGTGTTGAAAAATACCTTAAAGAGAAGTGATGGATTCAGGGTGCAAATTTAGCCACAAATTTTGGGGCATGGCAAATTTGTTTTAACTATGCCTATTTGTTTGTTACAAAATATTTTTGTTTTTTTCTTTTTCCACTGGGGGATGAAGGAGGAAGGCAGGATAGAATAGGAAGAAAGAAAGAAAGAAAGAAAGAAAGAAAGAAAGAAAGAAAGAAAGAAAGAAAGAAAGAAAGAAAGAAAGAAAGAGAAAAAGAAAAAGAGAAAGAAATGAAGGAAGGAAGGAAAGCAGACAAGAGGATTGTTGAGGTACCTTTTTTTTAAATGTAGAGAATATAAGTAAGGCCAGAAAGAAGCACAAATGCACAGGATAACTTTGAAAAGCTATAGGTTTGAAAGTTATAGGTTGTTTTTTTTTTTACCTACTTATAAAGAAAAGCCAGTTGCAAATAATAGAAATCTGAAGTTTCATGTACAATCCTTTTTTTTCTCCTTTATGTGAAAATGTTCATCCTATTTGGTGTTTGTTAAGTTCAAAATAAAAATAATTTTTAAAAAATTCATCTATCCAAATCCTTACCATTCTTCAAAAACCAGCTCCAACTTTCTATAAAGCCCTCCTGTAATATCTTGCTTGCTTCTCTGACCCAACATTCATAGAGCTGAGTCCACTTAACTCTGGCCTTCAGATTTAGCCCTGCTTCCAGGCCCTGGGACCAATCCATCTCTTAAGCAGAAAAGGAGAGGTCAAAGCCCTCGATCCACCAGGTGGCCCAACATCCCATCATCCTGGCACCCAGCTGTAATCCTCTTGTGCCTTGGCTCTGTCCCTCGGTTCCTGCCTTTTACTCCAAGTGGCCAAGGGCCCTAGTCCCAGTAACTGGGTCCCGTTCTACTTCCTTGTCTTGGTGCTTTGTAGGCGGAATGGTGTAATTGATTAAGTCAGACAACCTGGGCTATAAGCCTGCCCTTGCAGGCTTCTCTGTGCCTCAGTTTCCTCATCTGCAAAATGAAGGGATTGAATTCAATAATCCCTAAAGTCTCTTTCCAGCTCTAAACCCTTTCCCTGAGCCCCTAAATCCTTCTCTCTTCTGAATTTCTTATTGCTGTATGGGGCACCACCATGCTCGCAGGCACCCAAGCTCAAACCTCAGTGTTATCCTTGCTCCCCACTCCCGCTCGTCCCACATAGTCAGTTCTTTGCCAAACATCCCACCTCCCTCATGCGCATTTTCTTCTCTCCACTCAGCCAGCCATCACCTTAGGATGGGCACTCTTTACCTTGAGCCTGGACCGCTGCAATAGACCTCCACTGTCCTGCTTCCAACTTTCCCCACTCCAATCCATTCTCCTCTCCACTGCTAGTCATTGCATGACAGTGTAGGTCTGTGCATGTTGCAGCCCCTTCCTCAATAAGCTGCAGTGGCTCCCTATTACCTCTGGATAAACTATAAACTCCTCTGTTTGACGTCTAAAAACCTTCCCAGTCTTCTTATACTTGATTGCCCTCCACACACTCTTGTGATCAAGCCACACTGACCCAGTGCCCTTCCTCATCCTCGCACTCCCATCTCCATGCCTTGCATTGACTCTGCCCATGCCTGGAACGGTCTCCCTTCTCACCTCCACCACTCAGCTTCCCTGGCTCTCTTCAAGACTTAGGTTAAGTCCCACCTTGTGCAAGCAGCTTTTCCTGATCTTCCCCAATGGAAGTCTAAGATGGATGGATAGATAGATAGATAGATAGATAGATAGATAGATAGATAGATAGATAGATAGATATATGTGTATATATGCATATGTAAAAATAGTATGTGTATATGTGTATATAATGCATATGTGTATGTACGTATGTATATGTATATATGTACATATTTCTATGTCCCTAGTTGCTTTTTCATGCTTGTCTTCCCCTTTAGATTTCAAGCTTCTTGAGGGCAGAGGCTGTTTGTGTTTTTTTAACTATTCTTTGTATCCCTACTGCTTAGCATAGTACCTGGCATGCAATAGACACCTAATAAAAAATGCTGTGACTTCACCTGTATCACATGGCTTGCCTTCTCAATGGGTAGAGGGAGGGTTACAGAGACAGAGAGAATGTGGAACTAAAAATTTTTTTAAATAAATGAATGTCAAAAAGATAAATGATAAGATTTTTAAAAATAAAATGGAAAATGCTAGTTGACTGAGTGACTAAATACTCCGCTTCTGTGTGGTCTGCCCCATGCCTCAGTGCCTCCAGGCCTAGCGTCTTGCCTAGCTTCTCTCCAAGCCTGCCTGCTGCCAGCTTCCTGGATGCCAATCACCTTACTGGGTGCTATTCACAAAGTAAAAACAAACAAAAAAACAAGTCTCTGCCGTCAGAGAGCTTAAATTCTACTGGAAAGAAGCAATGGGCATATAGATAAGCCTATGGCTCAAGATGCCCGGCTGTAGGCTCACATAGACTGATTTGATCTCAGGGGCTAACCCCCAAATATCCCTTCTCTCTCAGGCTCATTGTCTCCCCACACACACACAGAATTTACTCTGGCAAAATCTCCAAACACATCATTTAGAGTTCATGTTTAGGTCCCACCATTGCAACAGGGTCCCAGATCCCCTTGCGAAAAAAAGTAGATATTATAGTGACTGATCTGGGCACAGTATCATGTCGCCTTGGCCTCCCTAGGGGCTACCACAGTGTTTCATACAGGGAAGACACTTCAAAGAATCCTTCATTGCTTAAATTGTACTGAGAACCACCAAAGGAAGGTTAATCCTGGGAACTCTTTCTCCTATGATCTCTCACAGGGAAATGCCAAGGAGGCACCAGCAGGGGTGGTAAGAACAGGTCAGCCTGCAAACTTGAAATCCTATCCTTTTTTGAATAAGGTGCCCTAGCAAGAACAGGGCTGGTAACTGTACGATCTTTGAGAGACCAAGGTGGTTGGCACAGATCAGGGCAGACCTACTTGTGCCTTCTCACTTGATACTAAGCAGCGCCTTAAATAATTCAGTGAGGGGTGATGAAAAAGGCAGAAAGGGTAAAAGCATATGTCACTGCGCAGCCTTAGGGGGCTGGCAAAAGCTATCCCTCTAATGTGACAAGTGGGCGGGATCCTGCTCAAACTGGGGTCTTCTAGCTAAGCACTGGACAGAGCATGAGATGCAAAACGCTCCCTCTTGCATGAAACTCACCAGTTTGTGTCTTGCTGATCTTTCCCAGGAGCTGCCTTGGCTCACACGTTGCAGGGTGCAGTATGAGAAAGCTAAGATGGACCCATTGATTAAACCTTTGCCACTCTTGGCTGCCAGGTTAGAAGGGCAACAGGGAAAATTTCCTCAAGGTGCCCCCACTCAATCAAGCAACAAGCATTTCTTTACAAAGCACATGTCAGGGACTGTGCTAGTGAGGAGAAGGAGGTGGGCAGATGAAATGCCAAATCCACCTTCATAACAAAAATCGACAAAAAACAGACATGGAGCTCAGTGATGGCTTAGCTCTCACCTGGACCTGGATATATAGTCTTTTACCCAGAAGACTTAAGACCAGACCTTGACTATGTACATGTAAAATGAGGGTGGTGCGTTGATGCTACCAAAACCTTCACTATTGTAGTAAAGCTTTTGGGTGAATGGTATGACCCAAATGAGCAGTTAAGTGTTGCAGTGGATAGAGTGCTAAGTCTAGACCTGAGTTCAAATCTGACCTTAGACTGTGTGACTCTGGAAAAGTCACTTAACCCTGTTTGCCTCAGTTCCCTCATCTGTCAAATGAACTGGAGAAGGAAATGGCAAACCATTTCAGTATCTCTGCCAAGAAAACCCCCAAAGAGTCGAACATGACTGAATAACAAAAGTAACACAATTGTGGTTTGTATGGTATGCACTGACTTTGGGGTGGAGCAGAGCCCAGGATATGGTGCTCAGATTCCTTGCAAAGACACATGGAATTTTCGAGGTAAAAGGCGCCTTGAAGAATGTCTAGTTCAATGTACTTATTTTACAGATGAGGAAACTAAGTCCCTTACAGATGAAGCAATTTTCTCACAGTCGCACAGCTTAGACTACATGGTGTCTAAGAGTCCTTCCAGCTCCAAGTTTCTTTTTCAATTTTTTTTAAGAAAGAAATCATAAACTTTTATTCTTAATACAGGTAGAAGAAGGCAATATCAAATTTTAAAGCACAACAAATTAGTCGACACTGATGGAACATTTAACATTCCATTCTTTTTTTTTTAAACACTATCTTCTGCTAGTTTATACTGGATTTTACAAGTTTTGCTGCTACAACTATCATGCTAGTTCTACTTCAGCTCCGAATTCTTGATCTTATATTCCTAAAGGCTTGGTTAGGCCCAGAACTCCTGCCTCTCCATCTGGTGGAATTAACCACTGTCCCCCTCTGATTTCATCCCATTACTTCAGAGAATATAAAAAACTTGAGAATGTCCTTTGGCACTATCCCTTCATCTCTTGTGTGGGGTGGGAGAAGGAGAGGGGAAAGAAAGAATTTTGGTGGGGGGGGGGACACATGGGTGACAAAGAAGGCTCAGAATTTCAGAACCTGAAGGGATCCTAGAATTTATCTAGGCCAACTCTACATACTCCTCCCCAATTTTACAGAGAAGGAATTAGAGATCCATGGAAGCAAAATGACTTGTCCAAAGTCTTGAAGGAAAGGTAGGTTAACCCCAGTAACTCATTCCTCTATCATCTCCGGATAGAGCAAGGGTTCTCTCCAAAGTCCACATGCAGCATTCTTTCCACAGCACCATGTTATGCCACTAGAAGACCTTGGGTGGAGCGGCCCAAATCAACGGGACAAGCCTGAATCTGAGAGGCAGAACAGGTGCTGGAAGGAGCTCTGGGCTTAGAATCAGGAAACAGCTGGATTCCAATTTACTAGCCATGAGACCATCTCAGAGAAGCCATCCCACTTCTCTGAGACTCAGCTTTCCCATCTATAAAATGGGGAGGAGGAGGGAGGAGAACCTTTGCTGCCCTCAGATCTACTTCCCACCTCCAGCCCTGTACCAAATAAGACATTTGTCAAGTGCTCATCACAGCTCGTGACATACTGTAGGTGCTTCAGAAATGATTCTTTTCTTCCTTTATACACAGGACAACAGCCAGCCAGGGCAATGCCTAACACTCAGGGTGTGTATGTGCATTTGCCTGTTTCTCTTGGGTGACAAACCCATCCCACATACTGGCAAAGTCCCCACCTACCGCACCAGGTCCATTCCCAATAAGGCTTCATTCTCAGGGGCAGGCTCTCTGGTACTGATGGCTTCATTGGCGATGCAGACCCCATGCTCGTTGGCTCCCATTTCTGCCCCCCACAGCCAGGCAGGTCTGCTGATCACAATGGCATGTGTCCTCGGGACTTGGTCGATTGCAATGTATGTACACTAAGAAAGGAAGAGGAAAAGAGAGAGAATTCAGTTCAGTTTAATGAGCATTTATGAAGCACCTACTGTGTGCCAGGCACTCTCCTAGAGATTTAAGACAAAAAGGCAATAGATTCTGCCCTCAAGGAGCTTATATTCTGTGGGACCCTTAAGCTGCCCAGATTGATGCTTTATTTTGTTCTAAAATGAGATCTAGCTCCACCTACAAATCAATAAGCTTTTATTTAGCACCAACTGTGTGCACCCAAACCACGAACTAGGCAGAGGACAAACATGGAGATGTTCATCCCCAAAGGTGTCTGCCTTCATGCTTTTCTGCAGCACTTCTGCCGTAAACTAGGTACAATAAGATAATATACTAAGGACCCACAATTCCACCAGTGGGAGGATAGATCCTGATCATGAACCATCTACATTACAGGGTTACTATGACCGACAAACGAATCCCTGGGCAGCTGACTTGGGGCTGTCCCTGTCCACACTGAGCCAACCTGGCCCTCCCATGGGGCACAGGCTGTCGTCAGGACCCTCCACAAAGCCCTCCCATCTTGGGCAGACCTCACTGCTGTCACCTTCAAGGTCATCTCCTGCTCAACAAAACTCATGAGGATTTTCTCACTTCCTCTGGCACATCGTTCTTATCTCACGACATAGTACTGGATTAGGTCACTGCGGACCTGGGTTCACATTCTGCTCTGCCACTTATAACCACTTGCTTGACTTTGGGCAAACTGCTCCAATCACTCCCCCTTTTCTGGGCTTCACTTCTCTTATTTGCAAAACAAAGGGAACGTTTCAAACAACCTTTCAGTTCTAACTCGGGAATCCTTTGATTGTCTTCATCTCTGGCATCTTTCATTTTTGTGAATCTTAAAGTCATAGATATAGAGCTGGAAAGGATCTCTGAAGACACCTAGTCCAACCTCTCATCTTACAGGAATAAGACAAGCAAGCATTTATTAAGCGCCTACTATGTACCAAGCACTGTGCTCAGCACTTTACAGGTATCATCTCATCTGATCCTCACAACAACCCCGGGAGGGAGGTGCTATTATTATCCCCATTTTACTCTTGAGAAAAACTAGGGCAATAGAGGTGAAGTGACTTGTCCAGAGTCACACAGCTGGCTCTTTGACTCTGCAGAAACACACTGCCTTAAAGGCTGTGTGAGTCCTGTGTGAGCCATTTCTTCTCTCTCTCTGTCTCTCTGTCTCTCTCTCTGTCTCTCTCTCTCTGTCTCTCTCTCTCTCTCTCTCTCTCTCTCTCTCTCTCTCTCTCTCTCTCTCTCTCTCCAGCTTTCAAACGTTATCCAGTTTCCTTTATCTTAAAAAACGAGCTTTGATTTGACCACTCAAACTACCATTCAAATTCTCTCCTTTTAAATTCCAGACCTCCCAAAGCTCATCTACAACCATCTCCATTTCCTATCCAGCTATTCCCCTCTTAAATTCCCATAATCAGGCTTCCACATCCCCCATTCTATTTAATCTGTTATCTCAATTGTCACTAAATATTCCCTTCTGAGAAAGCCCATTTTCCTTCCGCATTTAATCAATCAACAACATTGTGACAAGCACCTGGGATACAAAGACAAACAAGAACAGGCAGCTAGGTGGCACAGTGATAGAGCTCCAGCCTTGGAGTCAGGAGGACCTGAGTTCAAATTCCAGCCTCAGACACGTACTAGCTCTGTGACTCTGGGCAAGTAGCTTAACCTTGATTACCTCACCAAAAAGGAGAAAAAAATAAAAAGACAGTCAAGAAATTCCCTACCCTTAAGAACCTTCAAGTTTAGAACCTAAGGGTTAATTAATTGTTTCACTATTGGGTTTGCAACAACTCTCATTGAATAAGCACTTATGAACCACCTATTATGTGCAACTTGACCATGCTTGGTGCTGGAGATACAAAGATAAACAATACCCAGTGCCTACCCTCAGAAAGCTTACCTTCTAGGAAGAGTGATAGCTAAATAAAGTCCAATACTTCATTCTTATTCCCCCATAGTGCCTAGCACAAGACCAGGCACATAGTAGGTGCTCAATATATGCTGATTTGATGATAAAGACACAGAAAAACAAATAAAGAAAACCACCTTGTAAAGCAGGAGTTCTCAACCTTTTTGTGTCATGGCCTCCTCTGGCAATCAAGTGTGATGAAGTCCATGGATGCCTTCTCAGAACCGTGTTTTTAAATACATAGAATTGTCATGGAAACCAATTATAATGAAATATCAAAGTATAAAAAATAAAACCAAATAAGTTCATGACCTGTAGGTCAAGAATCCTTCAGAAATTGTGATGTCAATGGGACACACTGTTCCAGACCAAACAAAGGAGTGAAATAAAACAGTGATCATGGACAGCTTTGTTTACAGCCTGTAAAAGTCTGGAGTTGCTCTTTTTAAATGCAGAATTGGCTGGGAAAGTCTCTGCCATGGATGAGGTCCAGCAAGGCTGGTATTATTGAAGAGGACATCTCTGGTTGAAGCCAGAAATAGGTGGGGGAGGGAGGGAAATGCCTCTTATGGATGATACATTTGACAGCCCTTTGCCATGAGAAATCATAGAGGTGCTAAATTCCAGTTACCCAGTCTGTTCTGTGACCGAAGTGAGGAAGAGCATATATTATGGATGGGAGAGACCAGCTTTGGCAGAACCATAGAATGTCAGAACTGGTAAGAGTTCAGGGCCCCTCGAGCCCAGTGGCAGTCTGGTGAAGCCCATTGGTCCCTTCTCTTTGAGATATTGAAGAAACAGCCAAAGAGCAGAGGAGGGATGTGATGGGGGGAGGATGGTTGGACTGGACACAGGCTGAAGCAGCCTCAGAAACTTCAGAAAAAGATACAAAGCAAGCATCACAGCCCTAGAGCTAGAAGGGACCCCAAAAGCTGGCCAGGGCACCCCCTCAGTCTTACAGAATAGGAAAGTGAAGCCCAGGAAAGTTAAAAGACTTGTCTCAGGTCACAGAGGGAGAAAATGACAGTGGTGAGGTAGATTACAAGCTCCTTGAGGGCAGGGACTGTCTTTTGCCTCTTTTTATATCCCCAGCACTTAACGCAATGCCTGGAACACAGTGGGTGCTGATTAAATGTTTGCTGAATTGAATTGAATTGAGCTAAGATCCTCTGCTACCGTATCTGTCTATTTTCAATTATACCATGCTGCCTTGTTAAAATATTTACACACACATACATTTATATGTATATATATGTGTGTGTGTGTGTGTGTGTGTATGTGTGTGTATACACATATATATACACCCATACATATACACACATTTTCTATATATATATAATATGATTCTATGTTATATATATAATTCTACATATATAAATATACATTCTATATAAACTATATATTTACACTTTATATATTATATATAGTTAAATATACTATAATATGTGTATAACTTTGTGTGTTATTTTACTCCTTATTTTGTAAGGACTTTTATTCTTCATTTTATTGGTTGTTAAGTTTATTATTTTTTAAAGTTAGTTGAATTATTTATCTAAAAACTCTTTAACATGTGACTAAGAAATCTGCCTCCCAGATCACAATCCTGAGCCTCAGCCACATATTAAACTAAAAATATCCCTAATGGGTGTTTTTTTCCCCTTTTAAACTTTTATTTATTGTACAAATTCTTTATGCCATCATTTGCCATTGCAACCACAGGCCCTGCCCAGCCTGCCCAGTCTGTAGTTTCTGACACATGCAGCCCTTTCCTTGTTGTGTACTCAGCTAACCCCAAAGCTCCTCAGTCACAAGGGCATAAATATGAGTGTGGACCAAGAAACACATATAAAGAACTGCCACAAAAATGAGTAGTCCTTCCCTCAGTGTTCCATAGCGTCTTCCCACACTATTAACAGCCAAGGGCAGGATGGGAAGAGGGGCCAGGAGCCTTTTTGGACCCAGTGAAGAGGCAACACAAACTGGAGGCTTGTCAGAGTCCCTGAGGAGTGCAGTAAGCTTCGGCACGCAGACCTAGCAGTGCTAAGTCCCCAGCTGCAGGATTCTGGTCCCAGCAGAGGGGAGAGGACGACACCCTGGAGGTTGCCACAAATTCTGTCTTGTCTTAGGACTCTTGTGCACCTGCTGGTTCAGGCCACAAAGACGGTTTGTCGTATTCTTGATACAGAGCAGCCCAGTGGGAATGGAGTCTCAAAGCAAAGCATCCTTGAAAATGAAAACTTTTCAAGTGGGAGGAATTTCTAATCTTGAAAACGTTCTTATTCAAATTTGTATTGAAAAAGAAAATCTATTTTATTCTTCATTTCATTGGTGTTCAAGCTTATAATTTTTAAAAGTGCCTCAGTGGATAGAATGCCATGCCTGGAATCAGGGAGACCTGAGTTCAAATCTAGTCTCAGACAGTTACTAGCTGTATGACTCTTACCCTGTTTGCCTCAGTTTCCTCTTCTGTAAAATGCTCTGGAGAAGGAAATGGCAAAGTATGACAATATCTTTACCAAGAAATTCCCAAATTGCATCACAAAGAGTCAGACGTGACTGAAAATGACTGAACAACAACAAATATCTAAAAATGCCTTAACATGTGACCAAGAAATCTGCCTCCCAAGTCACAATGCCGAGCCTCAGGATAAACTAAAAAACATTCCCAATGGAAACAAGGAAAGGTCTTCTGGAGAATCCTGGGTTTTGCCTCATCTTTCCCAAGGTGGACACAGGCCCTCCATTTCAGCCTCTTCCTGGTAGGTCAGTCCCACCAAACTGGTCCAACTGTGCAGCTAGCCTGTGGCCATGCCCATCCAGTCTCCAATGATGGAGCCAATCAAGGCTTCTGGAGGCAGCCAGCACTCAGGATGCCAAAGGCCACACCCTAAGAATGTCTGGGCCATTTCAATGCAGCAAGGTTCACCTCCAGGCATGGGTGCCCTCTCCCCCTCCCCCAGCACGTTTCACTGTTTGTTGTGTTGGGGAATAAAGGCCTGGCCCAATCTGAGCCTAGCAATCCTTTCTAGCTCTGGAAGCCTC